ACATTTTAGCTTTAATATTAAAGGTAGGCTTCTTATTACTATCCAATAGGTAATTTATTAGATATAAATCCTAACAACATTGAGTCCTAGACGATCACGTGGCCATCACAACGATATAATTTAACTATGTTTAAAGTTGTCTGCTCGGAAACCTTTGTCTCAACAATTTCTGCCAAGTAGCATGCTTCAAGTACAGTGTATTTTTAAGTTTGATAGGTGGATTGTAGGTGTGAAATTATGTACATAGTACAGAAGCTTGGCAAATTAGTCCTCAGTAATGGTACCTAAACTTAATTGAACCGTAAGCTAATGAACCCCATTGTCATAAATAATATGTCAATATTATATTACTGTATGTATAATACTTATAGAAATGTTACTAGTGGACTTGACAGGAGTCCTGTCCTGTCGAAAAAACAGCATAACGTACCAAGGCCAATTAAATTATATACACAAAATTTCATTATAATTTCTCCAGCCATATAAAAGTTAGATAACAAATGTAAGTATGGAATAATCACATATATGATATTAAAGTTTTAATACTTTATTCTGATACGGGCAGTATCAATATTGAAAAAAATATTGACATGTACAACAAATTCATCCTACATAAATAAATTATTTTGATTTTGAATTTTAAGCAGGTCTTTAAAAATCTTGTGCATCTAAAATGAAATAATCTCGTATTTACTGCATAATACTGTGATTAGTTTTTGTATACTTACAGATAATAAATAGCTTTTGTGACACAGAGGCAAGAAGTTTAGTAGAGACACGCTTTGTCTTCGTTATAAATGAAGGTACTTACGCCATCTATCTCTATGTTTATGTAACCCTCCCTACACTAAAAATAAATAATTACATACATTTGTTATAATATGAATTTATCTCTGTTTATATATAAATATATGTTATGTTAATATGTATAGTTTGGGCAGTGATTAAGATACTAATTCATTCAAGTTATAATTTTTGTAAATAAAAAAGGTCAAAGTTTATAATAGTATAGAAATAAAACAAAGTTTATAATAGGGTTCAGAGGAGTTTCACTTAGATTGTGTTATGACTGCCTGCCTAACCTGCCAAAGATTTCTGTAAACACTGCAGCATCAGGTTTTGAAGATGTATGTAAGAACCCTTCTTATTTGATATATATTGAGGATTTTTATTTGTAAGGTCAGCATCCGGCACTTGGCACCCTTGGTGTTTCTAGCATCCAAAGAGTACCACGACCATTTACCATGAGATTAGCAGCATACTTGTTGCCACTACGGTACGGAAAGGTAAGACACTTCTATTACACATTTTTTACCTAACTATAAGAGTAATCTACAATAGTACTTACTTGATATAAATTTCAAATTAATGCTTTTGATCACTGAGCAATATGACTCTTAATAGATAGGTAAAACAACAAATTAAAATATTTTAAACAAATGGAAATTTTATAATTCCTTTTTATTAAAAATGAATACATAATCTATAAATATATTTATTTCATTGTGATTCAAATCGAGGATAGGAGTTACGGTAAAATAATACATAAATCACACGTCAATTCGTTTGGTCAATACTATTGGGATTCTAAGAATACCTTCAATATGAAAAACCATATAAAATATTATTATTGTTGTTTTTCCATCTAAGGTAGTGTTCACACAGCGATATTTTTGCGTACTTATACTCTTTACAGAATAATAATTGTATATATTCCTAAAATATTATGGATATATATTAACAACGTAACTAATTGATGTCTGTACATAATCGGGATTTTATCAGGAACACATAATATGACTTTAAAGATTATTGTTCTTTGGGCTGTTTATCTCTGCGTTTCTAGGTGTTAATCTCAGAAAGAGCTTAATTGATTTCTATGAGGTTTTTACTAATGTAATGTACAAACAAAATAGTTATAAACTATTATTGTATATGCTTCAATTCTTGTCCCTGACGCGCCTAGGTAGCGAACTATAAAAATGTCATAGTGCTACTGGTTGACTTTAACACCGAGTAATAGCTCAAACCCCTTAATAAAAATGCATATAACTATACATTACATATAAATTGAATTCAATACAACAATACAAGCTACTTAGTATAACTGATATTACTAATCTTACTTCCCTAAGCCTATTAAGTAAACTAAACAGTATATTAGCGTAATCCCAGTCTGAAGCTATACCTAATCGTTTGCTATGTGTAACCTACTGGAGGCTTTATAGCGAGGCTCGTATAAATTCATTACCTACCAAGGGAGCAGGTAAATTTATGTTCGTGTAACACCTGCAATTATTTGTCCTGACCGCAGGAATCGTACCTGGGGTCCAACATTAATTATCATTACTCAATAACCTTGACTTGCTTTGGGATGTAAATATTTTCATTTATATATGTAAATACTACTATGTAAATAATTAATCTTAATAATATTATATTATAAATGCGAAAGTTTTTAAGTATGGATATTTGTTACTCTTTCATGTAAAAACTACTGAATGGATTTTTATGAAACTATATTATAGAAATTTATCGCGGGTGCAACCGCAGGCACAGCAGTCTTCTGTGATTTGAAAACTAATGTACACATTTTGAATCCATCTTACTATCTTACTGATATTTACATACTATGTATATGTAAATATGAGTAGGATTCAAAATGTATACATTAGTCTTCAAATTAAAGATTCTTTATATTCCGTGTGTATTTAACTTCAAGTATTATTCGAGTATATACTTTACATACTCTAATGCTGTTCTTACTTAGAAGATTGTTCGAGTATATATAAATGACATACATATAAATGAAGATTAAAATTTTACAATGGAGTTAAAATTGAATCCACACGAAAAATAAAAAAATATATCCTTATGTAGGACTAGGACATGGTAGGATAACAATCGATTCCTTGTTTTCTGAGCATTTTATAAAACTATGTTGTTGAAGCTACGCGGACCACAGTAGAAACGTTGTTTCATTGAAATTTCATTAATTTTCAATTGTACGTACCAAGACACAGCTATATCAAGGAAGTTAAGGAAAAGAGTTAGTCTAGTAGTTAGAGAGTCGTGTCGATAGAAGATAATGGGCGGTGACAAGAGCTCCACCGACAAGAGCACGGCTCTTAAATTATGCATTAGGTAGTATCATATCTGTACATCCTTTAAAACAGATCTCTAGTTACAGAAAAATATATTTGATACAAAAAAGTCAAGAAGATATTATTAAGTACGTGTATACAATTTTAAACTCTATTGGTTTTCCTTATAAGTGTTTATCTCTCTTTCAAGTAATAAATAGTTATAACTACAAACAAGTCAATCTGTATATTCTTGAATATATAGCGGAGTAATATTTAGGTCAAATAATGTGCCGCTTCGTAACAGTCGACATTGTTATTTTAAGGAGAAGCATCCGTTGTATATACAATTAATTCTGAATGTACTGTATATTAATGCATAGATTAGAAGTTTGTTTCAGTATAGTGTTGTTCTTTTTATGTCACTGGATTCAGAAACATATGACCCATGTAATGGTAGATTACCATTACCTTCGCTTAACATAAACTGCACTTCATTGTATGGTACAATAAACAATATAACTACGACTACCACTTTCTATGACGTGGGTTGTTTGTTATACTATGTAGACATATACACTATGAAATCTATTTTGAAGAATATAAACAAAAAATTCGAGATGGAAACTTCTTTTTGACGGTTACTAGAAAATAAATAGGTCACTCGATGGGTATCCACCTCTGAGTGTCAGTTATATTCCCCCTAATTGTAAAAGGAAAGTTTGGTAAACCCTACTAATAAACTTAATCTTCTAGTCTCATCTCATTAAAATCAAAGATACTTTGAGAATAATTTAACTAATCCTACAAGACGATGATGGAATAAATAAATAATGTAGACGAACCCACATAGAGCCATCTAGTATCAAAACTAAGCTAACCATGGGTACTAGATAACTGATAGATAATTTTAAATACATTTGTTTTATGAATGCGACATGTAGTGATCGTATTGTATAGAGATCGGACTCACGACCATTAGAAGTAATGCAATTTGTGCTAAATCATTTGGCTATCGTGGTCGGCATTAAGTAAATACAAAAAAATCTGAAATTGAAAAAAAATTGTAAAGTAATATTGTCTGTGAGGTAGTAGTGGATAATATCTGGATCTAATCAACCGATTTTGGAAATTCCAATTCCAAATAAAAAATTTCCAATAGAAACCCACGTTATTTTGTGTATGTCAAAGGCTATTAACCTGAAAATGAAAATACTTTTTCGTTGTTGTCAGAAATGTTTAAGAAAATGAGTACGGGTCAACTAGTTCTGGATAAATTAGTGTGATGTCTCTTACATATCACGGAGAAGGTTCTCCATTTTATCTGTACGTTTTATATCCACACACTTATTAAACTTCAAATAAAACATTATACAAAACTGTCTACGAACTTCAGTTGGTTCGATATTTGTATTTTCCGCTTTCAGCTTCTGTATAATAGAAACTTCTCCTTAAATCATTAACTATATCACCATGTGCATAAATCATCAATATACATCTTGACATTGAACTATCATATATCATAAACAGCCGACTAATTGATTACACTGAGACAATCATCATGTAGAACATGCCAGTTGTCTCGTAGGCGCTGTTATAAAATCATTTCGTTTCCGTATTTATATTTCCATGACGCTTTTAACGGTGTCTGCTACAGTTTTTTTGCATCCAACACGTTACAGCTTGAAATAAAACTAAAAATAATTCAAATTCTAACTAATAACATACATTAATGATTAATTAATTTCATTTTACATATAATTGAATATTTTTGCTTTTTGAATGTTTTTTTATTAAGTTAAAACAGAATACAATGAGCTTCTTACTAAGGAAAAAACAAATTTCATTTCTAGTTTTATAATAATGTCTGAAATAGTAAATATATAACATGTAAAATTAGATAGAAAAGGAAACATCATGAGATTTATTTTATTAGTGTGTGTAATGATAAAAACAGTTGGAGTGTTAAGCAAAGATCTGAGTGAAAGTGAACGGTCAATGAGAGCATCATTTGTTCAGAAACTGTTGAATAAACAAAAGTTCTTGGAAGGAAGAATTAAACTTATAGGAGGACCTACTAAATTGGAAGGTACAGTTCAGTTTCAAAAATGTCTTGTAAAACAATGAGTGAAATAAATAATTACAATTGGAGTATTTTAATAGTAGTATATCATGTCTAATAATTTATAAATATTATATATTTTTAATACGCTACATTTGTATAAATATACGCATAGAATTCTTAATCAATAGATGTCAGTGAATAATAAATTTGAACAAAGTTCGAGAGTATTAGTCAATAAGTGTATGGAAATAATTGTGTTAACATGTTTGAAAATAAAAATCCCAAAATAAATTTGGATAAAGAAAATAGAATGCGTACGGATACCGTGAGTACTGTGTGTGCATCGAGATTTTTCGACATTTTGATTTGACATCACTGTTATTCTAATCAATTTGTGAGCATGTTGAATAAAAGCTAAACTACCTTTCACTTAGACGTTAAGAAAAATAGTTTACTTTTTATTTACCATAAAATTATTCGTAATCTTATTTGCGCATTAAATAAAAAGAACAAATTGTTCTAGGCAATGTCTACATTTACCACGCCGGTCGTTGGGGTGCCGTTTGTGATGATTCCTGGGATAATGCTGCTGCTAATGTTGTCTGCCGTAGCTTCAACAAAACTGGAATAGCCACACATGGAGGACAGTATGGCGAAGCTATAAGTGCGTAATACTTATTATTCTCTAATTATTATAATTATGATAATCTTTTTTTTATAATTAACAGAGTTTAAATTTATATCTTTACCTATACATATCATATATGAAACCAACAAAGCAGCAGCACTGCGGGTATGTCCATATATTTATGCAGACTTGATTGACAATTTGCAGCTACGGCGCATATTATACGTATATATGGTATGAAGTCGTAATACTTATATACGTATCCGTATACTTACTCATGATCAAACGCGTAACATATAATAGAAGACATCATCTTAAATATTTCTCCTTTGTAAAAGTAAGAAATATCTTCTACTTTAGCCGGAAATATAAGATGTACCTTCCTAGGGAGTGGTGATATATGATTTCCAAACTCGAAGGTGGTGTATATTCTACTATGATATTCCCAGATGTTTTTTATATCCATGACTTCCCACTTTGTACCATAAATTCATTTCATATTGACAAACCGTGGCAGTATAGCGGTTTACCAAACTAGGTTACTTCATTGTAATCGCGTTTTCGATTTTCATATAAAACAAATATTTTGTGTAAGAGTATATATATAATCTATTTGTATTGGTACTCTTGTATATCTACATATAGATATTCTACAGAATATAAAATAAAAAAATATTTAAAAGCCTTTTTAGTTCTTGCTTTTGTACAAAGTTATACGGTATTATTACAAAAAATCTGTTAAAACTCGGACGAAACGTGGTCTAAATGGTCGTGGTTTAAACCATTCCTAATGTTAATACCTACTTGGAATAAACCTAACATTATTACGAATCCAGATCTAATAGAGGACTACTTAGTACTACAGTTAAATCGTTCATTATGTATTCCATACAGAAATCAGTCACTCATGTCTGTCACCGTACAATTACGTTCCATTTTACCAGAAAACTGAAAAGATCAAAAATAATATTAGTTCAAAGAAAAATGTATAAACTAAAAATAAATTTATTTCTATTTATTTAGGTCTTCATTATAACTATTTCATTAATATATAATATTTATTAATGTACTATTAGGCTGAAAATCAGTTTTAAATTACAAGTAGGAGTCCTATACGGAGGAAAGGAACGGCGAGATATTTTTATTGGATCGTTCGAATGGTGACTATTTCAAAGTCAAATGAGTGAAAAAATAACAAATAACGTCTTTTATATATTTTTATTGTCGTAAAATTTGCTTTAAATATTTTTAGTTAATATATTTTTAATTTAGTTAAAATATTTTTCCAAAAACTACAACTTACAATAGAATTTTTAAAATGGAGTTTGTATTTTTGCATTTAGACCACTGTTAAACTAACAGGTCTAACTTTAGACCATACACGAATCACGATTTAGAGATAAACTTCATTTTGTAATAAGGAATACATTGGTGAATGGTTTATTACTAGTGCTAAACCAGGTTTATCTTTTTGTAATAAGGCCGATAGTGTTAGTAAATTACAATGATTATTATTTGAGTTTTTTATTTGTTATTGTATTTATTTATTATTATTATATATATTTGTTATAAAGACTTACCACTTACTATCAGGTGGCCCATTAGTTTATTTGCAATACTAATTAAAAAATATACAGGTAATTTGTTTTTTATAGACATATTTAAATACAGATACATCTGAATTTAATATGTCCATTATTTGGTACTTAGAGTACAACCATTACGAGATAGCAATGTACAATGGACAACTTTACTTACAACATTATTAAAAAATGTTGCCCGTATAATATTACAGACAGAAAAATTAACTAATTAATTAGACGTCTGTTGAGTCATGTACGAAATAGAACGATGACGCTATTGCTTTCTGCAGAGACCACTCCAATCATGACATACAATTTTTATTTCTATTTCAAATGAAATTAAATTTGTACTAATATATTGAAACAATTTTATATGGCATGTAAGGCATGCGTCATCACATAAATGACAAAATTTTACAAGTTACCTTTACTCATTACATCTATTTGTTACTTCAAACTTAAAAAAGAGGAAGATTTCAATTCGAATGTTGTTTTATGTGTGTCCTCAGATTTTTATGATGATTCTTTTTTATTTGACAGCTGGAGCATCTTGTGTAACATCATATATATTTTGTTTAATATATATGTAATCAGGATGTGGCCAGTAGTTTTTAGTTATTCTTAATAATGGGTATTTATATTATGAGTTAATATTGTATAAATTGTGAAATATTGTTATGTCATTAGCAAACAATCTGACGTTAAGTGAACGTTAACACTATGTTAAGTGGTAACTACCACCCATACACAGTAACAATACCCATATACAGTAACACGGTACTATGTCAAATTAAAAAGAAAGCTAATGAAACTCAGTTACCTAATATAAATACTAGTAGACTATGAAATAGTATTATCACCAATGACCTAATTATGGTGCCCATTTCAGGAAAATATTGGATGGATGATATAGTTTGCGAAGGAGATGAACGGACTCTCTCGCAGTGTATTTTTTCTGGCTGGGGATCATCAGACTGTGAAGCAAGCGAGGTTGCCGGTGTTATATGTGGGATAAAAACGGAACCTCAGAATTTTCTGAAAAAGAAACAATCAAGTAAAATAATACAAGAAGTTTTAGATATCAGTACTGCGAGTTTAAGACTTGTTGGAGGACGAAATAATCGAGAAGGCAGAGTTGAGGTACGTAAACGTTACCTTTTGATGTTGATTATAGCAGTTTCACTATGCAAGGTAGCAAAGAAAACTTGACAGAATCAACGTCATAGTACAAATTCACATTGATATACATACATTATAAAATATACATAAAAATTATGCAATGGAAAGATTATATATATTTTTACACTGGAAAAAGTCAAGGATAATAACTATCTTGCTATTGATCTTAAGAAAGTAGCTTAAAAAGAAAGGACACGTGTATAAAACTTATAATAAATTGGTAAAATAGCTTTCATTAGCCGTTTAACTTGAATTATTGTAAACATATCAACTGATTACAAACAAATTGCTTCCCGCAAATCACTCCTAAATAAATTAGACTTAAGTATGAAGTATGTTATTTAAGAAACTCTACCACTATGTTTCAGATATATCACAACGGAGTTTGGGGAAGTATCTGTCCAGATGGTTGGACGTTATATGAAGCATTAGCTGTCTGCCGTCACCTGGCTTTAGGCTACGCAGAACAGGCCATACAAAGTGATTATTTTGGTAACTCTACAGTAGTGCTCAGCGGGGTACAATGTCAGGGGAATGAGAGTAATTTATTTATGTGCAGGCATCAACAATATGGTTCAGTCGTGTGTCCTGGCGAAGTAGGTAAGTTTATTTCTTTACAAAAAAAATTAAACAGTAATTTCTTTATTAGATGTTTACTCTTTACGTCATTGGAATGGCAAATATGCGGACAGCCCACCAGATAGTAAGTGATAACCGTCGCTTATGTATTTATATATGAACAATAATAGGGATGTCTCATTATTAGATATGTAACACCTGTGATACGACGTGCGTTGCCATTCCAGAGAGAGGCAGAAAAATGACAGGCTAAGAAGCCTGTCACTTTTGTGCCTTATGGCACCCTACAACCAAAATAAAGCTTAGCTGATTGGCGGCTGAATTAGGTGAGACGGAGATACTCACGCTGACATCTTTTTAAAGCCTTGTCTATTTCTGGTATTGATAATAAATTTATAATAACAGAATCTAAATGTATTAATCGATAAAATTAAATACAATTACGTATTTAATTTTATTATAACTTACTGCTTAAATATATCTCAATCCTTAATAATATGATAATGATCTATATTGGTACGTGACTATAGAAATAACATTGGGTACCTCACGTTCAAAGCAGCATTAATATTCGTATTGGATTCAAATCAAATTTATCACTACCAGCACCAAGTTTACAGGAAAACTTGAATAAAATGCAAATAAGTAACTCTGATAAATAAATTATTTTTTTTAAATAAATTTCATTCGAAAGCATTCCATTTTTTTGTAGTATTAAGAGACATCTAATAAGTGGCATATAGAAAAGCATTTTTATATTTATTTTTATAGAAACTCACAATGAATCTGATCTAAAACGAACAAATGACTAAAATATAAAGGTTTTCGTGTTAGTTAATAAACTTTTATTGGGTTAGATAATATTATTGGTTTTTAATCTACCGTCGTCCTTTCAATGTTAAGCTTCTATACTAAAAGCCAGCAAGAGAACCAAAACACACACAGACAATATGTGTATCATATTGTCTAAATTTAATTAAATCTTTATACCTACCTAGTATTCCATTAAAGTTATTAACGTAATTTTCCCTTTGTGAATGAAATTACTAAGTAGCTGTTTAGTGTCCCGAATATGTTATTAGAAATTTTATAATTATATATATATTCTTTATTGTAATGAAATGCATTATTTAGTTTTTGTTTCAATAGAAATAATGTTAACAATGGAGGACTTATCTCTAGAAGAGATAAATCATTTCAAATCAATAGCGTGGCATAGAAAGTGTTGAGTGGATCAAAATGTGCAAATAGTAATTTAATAAATATGTCATAAATAATTAAAACTAAAGATAAAAATGTAATAAATCTTACACTCCGCAACCGACCGTCTCTTCTGTTAATCAGTCATTTCCATTCATTTTTATGATGCAAACTATCATTCCAGGTCATGTAGCAGGAGTAGTGTGTACTCATCGTTTGGCTGACTTGTCATTAGATACTTTAGCCATCGAACGGACTGCCCACCTTCAGGATGTACCCATGTACCAGCTCCAGTGTGCTATGGAGGAAAACTGCTTGAGCAAGACTGCATATGACGTAAGTTACAAGTCTTCTCCATGGAGAGTTAGGATTTTTAGTAAAGGATACCAATGGGGGGGCCCCTTTGCTATTAATATCAATGTATCTCTTCGCGATTTTCCCTGAAAATCATCGTGGTAAATTGCTGATGATTTCGTTACGATGGTTAAACCGCCCTGATTTCATGCTCATCCTATCATTTTTTCTTTGGTTTCGAGCAAATCTATATCGTAAAAAAACTGAGTTTATTTCAAAAAGATAAAATTAAAACATAAGTCCAGTAAGCTCCACTCGCCTTGAATCACAAATAAACGTTAAATAAGAATTAATATTGATATTTCTTACTCTTTACATCATGGTTACGACTAAGTTCACTGTTATTTGAAGATGGTGGAGTTAAACTATCAATAACAGTCTTGATGTTATATACGTAAGACTGTTATTTCTTATACTGAAATCAGATGCACTTAGATACAAATTTTTGATAGTGGCCAGATTCAAACACTCGATATAAATCGAGGTAGTAATCACTTGACCACATAGATACAAACAGTGAACACCCTTAACACGTTAAAAGCAATAAATTGATTTCGGTTTTGATATTCAATAAGTGACATATTTATTTAGTAACCATCGTAATATTTATTTTTAATCAAATGGGATGTCATTTTGTTCGATGTAATCTTGTAGTATAGGAAAACATTACATTTATTATGTTACATTACTGTAGGATGTATATATATATATATATATATATATATATATATTATACATTTGTATAATATATATATATACACATCCTAGGGGTTAGATAAAATACATCGTATATTATGACATTATTTGCACCTTGTATTTCTAGATGGTATATTTTAACAAAGAAACATCTTTAAATATTTGTCCCTTCGTTAAGTATTTGAAAAGTATTCTATTTACAGAGGTTTATGTAAACCTTAAAATGTCTCGTCATTTTGTTTTTGCTCAGTCAAAAGCTTTCAGACTTGTTGACTTAGTCTAAACTTTAAAATGTTCACATAAAACGTTCAAAGTTAAAATAATCTATACAACTTTATGTATGTATATGTAAAATATGTTATAAAGAGATGTGTGCACCATGATTTAATTAGCCATTTATTTTACTTGATAATATTCTACACCGGTCCCGCGACTACGAGTACAATAGCGTGATATTTATTGCCTATTATGTTACACACATATATACATATGTCTATTTTATGTTTGAGTCATGAACAATTTGTCTAAATTTAGCTAAAATCTACGGATGTGCGCTCTAATTGTGATATTATGTAATATATAGGTACATTACTTTAGATTAATTAAAAATTTATGTTAATAAAATAAAAATAATTAAACGTACCAACTGACCTATAGCTTAATAATTGTTTTATTATTAATGTAAATTGAATATGTGAAGATCGTAATATAGAATCTATTTTGCTATTATGATTAAATCGCAAAGTGATTGTTGAATATGGCTGTAAAAGTTATTAATTGAATATATTATACAAAAAAATGTATACAGCTATTTATCAACACATCCGGAATTCAGTCGAAACAACTCTCTATCTGAAGATCTAATTCTCTATTCTTATAATTAATTAATAATTTAATATTTTAATAATATAATTATGGTAACATAATACAGATCAAAAGAACCAACCCTGACTGGCAATTTGAGACTCGAAGATTGCTCCGCTTCACAGCATCCTCCTTGAACATCGGTAATGACGAGTTTAGACCGTACCTTCCAAAACATCTGTGGCAGTGGCACCTTTGTCATATGTAAGTCATTCAAATATAGCGTATATATTAACCATAATACTAAATTACGATATAAGTGCGTTATGATAATTATAACACATGACGCGGAATTTCTGTAGAACCGAAGGCGAAGGCATAATAGAACCGAGTTTGTTAAATAAGCACGTACTCGTATATCGTGTGATGTTTTAGACTAGATTTTAAATAAACTCAACCATAAAACTATTGTTTATTAGGGTATCTTCTTTAATAACTATGAACTATACTAATCAAATGTTTTTAATTATTTTTACAAAACAATTATACATAAGGTACATCAAATTACTATTTTTACATTTAAATAATATAACAATATATTAACTATATATTTCTCTCTTAAATTTCTATGCAATATTATTACTTTTTTATTTTATGTCAATATTTTGGCGCCAAAGTTATTTCAACTTTTTAAAATGGACTACCGGCAACGGAACAAAACCAAACAGTTATAATATTGAGACAATATTCAAAGTGGGATATTTGCAACAATGATGCACAATGTTGCTTTCCCGCCGTTTCACTTATTTAAAACCTCCAGCCTGCGCCGCGTAGCTGTCCGTTCGAATATTTTTTTTTCCTTTTAATGGCTTGCAGTTCAAATATTTAAAAATATCAATTGAATCTGTTATAGGATATAACACTATGTTTATATCGCACACGTGTTTTATGAGCAGCTTGATATATCGAAAACCGATGAAATTAAATACACTTTGTGAGCTTCAGTATTGAAAAATAATATTAATTGACGTATAAGTATTATATTAACTAAGTATAACTATTACCTAAGTATATTCACACTATTATACAAAACAAATGGGCGACCTTATTGCTGGAAGTAGGTAATCTTCATAAGCCAATATTAGGGCAAAAATGAAAGGACTGTAATCCCAGATCTTTGAACTACATCATATAATATTGATGAGTAGCTTCAGCAATATCATTATGTAATATGTAATAATAAAAAACCTATTTCGACATATACTCTATTAGGTAGAATAGAGAAAAAGACTTTTAGAAAAGTAAATCTAGGACGATTTTTCAGGCAAGACTATATGTACCAGGTTCGTTATATATATTTTGAACCCTGGATAAATTACACAGCGCCTTTTTGTGCGAATCTAAAAAGAGCTTTTGTTACTGGTACGAATTTCTATCAGTTGTCTAAACTGATAGAAATACTTAAACACATAATATACATACACATCAATAAATATGTATGAATAAAGATATTTTTATTTTTATTGACATATAAAACACGCAGACCATTCCATTGAATACAAATGTTTACATTGTGCGAGGATCAAACCCGCTACTAACCGCCAACAAAGTGGTGTGCTAGACCACTAGACCACCGAGGCAATCAGAAATATTAATCAGAGTTACATATCACACAACATAGTAATTAAGTTCTGCCCACAACTTCATCTGGGCAAAATTGTGACCGGAACAAAAGAAGTATCGGGTCAATACCAGATCCTTCTGCCTACACACTAAGTATATGGTTAGCTTTAAGATTTATGTTTAATGTCAGCTAGTGTAAAAGAATAACAGAAAGTAAACAAAATTTTGAAATTATACAGTTAGCTAAGATTAAATTAATAGTTCAATACTATTAAGTCTTTCAAGACTATTCAAGACTTTTTTCTTCTTTTCACTATTTACACGCCACAGCGCCACTTAATTCCAATCTAAAGAGAGCTTATACTATGAGCACTGAAATACTAATAGAAATATTTAAATACATTTTTTAGAAAATAGAAAATAATATAGATACATAGAAAACACATACACATAAATATTTGTAAGGTGGAGTGTTAAACCACTTGGTGTCAGATTATTATTATTAGATACATGAGTCGTATTTGCAAACAGTCTTTGACGAGCACCATCAATATTTTTATAGCGTTGTTGAAAACACGAATACAGAGTGTATGTTATTCAGGGTTTGTTCTCATGTAAACAGTAATGAAGACATTATCCAGAACTGACAATTCACGGGTAATTACCCGAGAAGCGGGAATTTTAATGTGGTAGGATGGCATTTGTTATGATCTGAATAAAGTCTGTAATTTAGCTAACAAACATAAAATAAAAATAAAAATAATTTATTTATGTAGGACATTTTACCCGCTTATGAACATATTTTTTTACCGTACCGTCCAGGTCGGAATGCAGATTCAATTGAGAAGAACTGGCAAGAAACTCAACTAATTTTAATTATTAAATATGATTTAACAGATGTTGAGAATTTATTTAAAGCTAATTCCAGTAGATATATTTTTAATTATTATAATACTAGTTTACAATATTGTAATATGAAAGATTTACGGGATTTATTGGGTAGTCAGAGACGTTGTTAATTATTGTCTCATTATGGTGAACGCAACACATAACATGCACGCATTTCGCTCTGCATTTATATTTCTATTGTTTATAACTAGGAACTATAATAGTCTCAGTGATCTAGCGGTGTAACACACCGCTTTACTTCCGATGGTCGCGGATTCATCGCATGGTACAAACATTTGTATTTATGAGTATGATTTTTTGTATCGGTCTGAATATTTTCTATATACATTATGTATGTATTTACAAAAAAAGTATTTAAGTATTTATATCAGTTGCCTAACATAAGTTCTGCTTACCTTGAGACTAAGGCTTTGTGAGACTTGTCCAGGAGTATTATTAGTATGTTATTAAGGAACTTTATTATTCAGTCTGACCTATTTAAAGTAGACACAAATACTTTAGGTACTGTTCATAGATAATTATTCTTAACTCTATTATAAACAATTTTGATTGAACCAACAATTTTAGTTTGACGATACATAGATATAGAAAATTCCAATAAACACGAAAGTTCTAGACTTATAATTTCGCAGTAAGCAATCCTATAGAAAAGACCTCTTTTACAATAATAATATTTCTACCAAAGAAATACATCAGAAATGAGCTACGTGAATTTGGTATTTTATAAGCACGAAATATTCTATAATACAATTAAAATTCAGAATATTCGACTCAGATATTCAACTACTAAAATTTAATAAATATATATATATATTGTAAAGCTATATAAAAAGTAACTATTGTATATAATATCTATAACATCAAAGATTACTAGTTTCTAATAAGTTTTTATGACTGTAAAACAGATTAAAGACTGCCTTTCCAGTGCCCTTCCTCTAGATTATTTGAGTGTCTTTTGTTTTAATGAAGACGTTCTGGACAATTATCATGAATGTTTACTGTAAACAACAGTTGAAGGTGCCTTCTACTCGTAGACTTTACAAAACCCGTTCACTGACACCTAGTATCTTAGTATACTAAAATATTATATTTAGCACCAAAACGGTACCCAATCTATGCTGACTAATTTGCGTTTTCATTACAGTCTATATTTAAATGTACCATTATATTGCCATTAATTTTTTCATCAGATTTGTAATAAAGTTACTTGTAGTAAGTTAGGTAATAAGTAGGTAGATTACAAATCTGAAGAGTGTGTTTCTTTGTTTGATTGAAAACGCTAAAATACTTTTGATTTGAAAAATTCATTTAGTGTTAAATAACTCTTGTTGAGGAAGGCTATACGCTATATAATATCACACTACGACCAATAGGTGCGGAGTACTAATGAAAAATTATCCAATTTCTTTATTATCATATTGCCGAATAATAAGGAAAAATTATTTCAGCCATTATTAGGCAGAATCTTTTATTTCAGGCATTACCACAGTATGGAGGTATTTGCCACTTTCGATATTTTAGATGCCACTGGCACGAGAGTGGCAGAAGGCCATAAAGCATCCTTCTGTTTAGAAGACAACACGTGCATGCCAGGAGTTGAAAAAAAATTCTCATGTAAAAACTATGGAGATCAAGGTATTTATATTATTATTTTTTATATTACAGTGGTGGCAATCAACCATAGCGGTTATTTGATGGTAAAGGACTACGATTACTAATATTGAGTTCCAATTAAATTACCTTCCACCAACTTTTACTCCATGGTTTCTTGGAAAAAATAACATTAAATAGCAATATTAACCAAGGACACACACAGCGCCATCTAGTCCTAAGCTAAGCAGACCTTGTGTTATGAGTGCTTAACAACTGATACATATACTTAATACCCTTTTTTGGCAAATATAGTAAATACATTAAAATAAATACTAAATATCAAAAACAACCCAGGCCGGTACAAGCAATCGTACTTAAGAATAGAAATGTTTTATGCAAGGAATCGAACCCGTGTCCTTCGGAAACAAACAGTGTGCTAAACCGCTAGACCGCCGAAGATGTTAATAAATAACAAATTTGTTTATACTTCAGGTGTTTCAGTAAACTGTTCAGATATCTACCAATATAATATCGATTGCCAATGGGTGGATGTCACAGACGTCCAACCAGGAGATTATACATTCAAAGTAAGTAGTCATATTTAATCCACAAATATTCCAACGGAAAGTCGTATCTTAGTAGTTTACTTCACAAACTTACAGTTAGAAGATCGGAAGCACAAATCTAAGCAATAATAAAAATAAATAAACTTAGGCACAATTTATATGTCTGACTAACTCTACTGTACTCTGCTTGTACGTACATTACTAGTATTTTCCAATTTTCATCCGTTGTTTCATTCGTCTCACTCATATAGTACACTGATTCTATCGCCCACATTATTATAATAATAGCAATACTAGTTACACAAAAAAAACTTGTTTTCACACGATATTCTAGATATATTAAAAATAATAACATATGGAAATTATGTATCTGTCAACAATCAACAATCCCAATTATTCGATTCTTGCTATATTATTAATTGTGATATTATTAGTTCGCGTTTGGTCTTCATGCCAACTCCATTATTACAAATACAGTATAAATATTAACTAACGAACTCCAGGAAGACATACCTCAAATAATTAATGTCATCCTTCCAGCAGAATTCATCCATCGAAAACCGTCATATATAATTTAGGGAAGATTGAATTAGATAATGGTCTGATGATTCTAAACTTAGAGCTAACGCACAGGAATTAATTTTTACTGGAACAATTAGTAATTATAAATAGATTAATTTATAATAATAAATATTTAGAATTTTGTTACTATGTTACTATTTTATATTTGATACTGCAAAATTTCGATCTTCTCACTCCACACTTATAAACGTGGTTTACAGTTGACTGTCTACCCGCATCATTAGCAAATCACTGAGTTTATTCGAGGCTTTACATCGTCTGTTATTTAATGCAGGTGGCTGTGAACCCTCACGCTAGAGTAGCAGAACAGCAGTACCACAACAACGCCGCCTCCTGTACACTCAGACTCACAGATTCCTACGCATCTGTGTACGGATGTACACTTCAAAGACCTTAGAAGAAACAAAATAGAACAGATGTGACACAACAGACACATGTCAAAAAATATTGACAAACCGGATATATGGATATATGGACCATTTCTCGTTGAAAACGTCTCGTTAAGGATAAGTACTTCACAGGATATAACCCTCGTCAAAATAATAATAATATCTTCGCTTCCACCTTATCATTATTTCGGCCAGGTTTGAAACTGTATTTATTTAATAAAGCTTTAATGCAGAAACATACAAATAAAATTATAAGTGATAGAGTTAACACCTTATGGTATTTTAAAGAAATTTTAAATCCAAACTAAATTAATCAAATTAACGTTCTATTCAAGTACATCTTGAATATACCAAATATATTTTAAACTAGATTAAAAATATTAATGTTTTATTCTAATGTTACGAAACCTGCCCTACGAGGCATTGAAGCCCCGGAGAAGTTCCGGAATAGAGGGGCCTTGCTCTCCTAGATACGATTAAGTGCAGATGACCAAATTATTTGAATTGCAAAATGGTGGCATGTGAAGTCTTATGTTTTCAACCGACATCTATATTTAACAAAACATATAAGGCGGGAGAGGAATTTGTTAGTAATGGAGACTATTGACCCCATTGCAATGGGTAGGTTTATTACTATTTAACCATTTTGTTTAATTCCTAGTAAACTCGCCACGGTTGGCTTTCTGAGTGACTTCATTCCTATCCTCCAGAAGCATGATATTCGATATCATTCGCTCATAAAAACTACTGATTGTCCCATTGGGATTAACAGTCGTGAAAGTGCATAATTTAGTATTTTATAATGTTCTTGGGAATATAAATTGTATTACTTATGTTACTTAATGTTATACTCATAAATTCATTATTCGTTAATCGTTATTGAAACTAATTACATAATTAATTTTATTAAGTTCTATATCGTAACTTAATATTAATTACATCTATTTGGGTCTGTAGCGGTATTTAACTGAATCATTTTATTTAAGAGAGTTTTAATTGAACTATGAAGACAATATTGTAAATCCTTGCTTGAACTTACAAATTATTTTTTATTATACAAATTAAACAAGGTTGGTTATGTATAAACTCGTTCATGGGTAACTATAACTTACCTATTGCCGCCAAGTATCATTTTCATAAAAAAATTAAAAATCTGTATTTAATTTTAATAAATAGTATTCTTTTTACAATTCAAATAAATAAAATATTTAAAAGAATATCAACGAAAATCAACTTCTCTAGTATTGTTATTCTTTCCAAAGAGTTTACCTACGTAATGTCCAATTTAATATTGGCATTGGATTTTGTACGAACGATAATACTGGCTAAAATGGTGTATAAAAAAAAATTTTTGGAATAAAAAAGTATATTTCTTTGTATAGTATTTATTTATTGGCACAACTTATACATACTATCACAATTTCTCAACAGAAATTAAGTAACTTTAATTGAGCACACAATTTTCATTTGTACAATCATATTATTAATTGTACTTAAGAAGTATTACCTAACAGATAATAGTATTTAGTATTAAATACTTGTAAAAAATAACCTATTAATTAAGAATATCAAATTTGAGCACCTGTTTATCCACCTTACAAAATAGTTTTACATTTTTGTATTCTTGTCGTAATTAATTCATAGTTTGATGTTTAAATTTAAGTAGTTAGAAATAGAATGCCCTGTATATAAAAAAATATACATTATATTCAGACTTCTGGCCACTAAGTATTTTCAGCGAATGTTGAATGTAATGAATTATTTAAATTCAACATACCTAATGCTGAAAAATATAGTATAAATATATATAAGTATATATATAATAGTATATATACCAAGAATCAAAGCAGAATTAATCATACAGATATGCCTCTATAATGGAATAGCATTTTCTAGAATAGGGCTTAGGTTTTCTTAATAAAATTGTTTGTTGTTGTTTACTCTTAATGATACCGAAAATTTCTCAGATTAATTTACGGTCAACAGATACTCCAAATGATACCCTTTGGCCTTTCATGCGCCCCGAAAAATTTTGCGGCGCTTGATCGCCTATTGCGGAACCAAGGCTAAATTAATATTACTGACATAATAAACTTAATATTAAAACCTGTTTATTAATACTACTTAAGGAACCAAAATACAATAAATATTTTACCTTTACCATAGTTTTATATTTTATTTTTAAAAATCATGTTTTACACTAATATTTTTCAAACTGTGTACGGGAATTTAATGAACTTACTATAATTTGTATTTTCCTATTTTACACCACAACGAAACAAAAAAAAACAACAGAAAAAAGTTTAAAATTTCCGAACATACTCATATAAATATTAGTCTTCCATTATATCATTAAATAGTGTATGACTTCTTTATAAATTGTTATTAAAAATAGCTAGAGTACTTAAAAGAGGTTGTTAATGTTAAACATGATTTTGAACATGTTAATATTACCTAGACGGTATAAAAAATATAGTATTGTCATGGTTTTAACATTAAATGTCATCAATAAAACTTTGTACTATTTTCTTATATAATGTTTTAATTGTTCCTCATATGTTTTGTCAAATCCGACAATCGTACAGTCGATTACGAAAAGAAGGCACACGATAGCATTGCAACTTGACATAAACATTGTCAAATGGGAAATGACCTTCAGCTACTCACTCATATTTAAAATTGGTACTTATCCAACAACCATTCACCATTTTTTATTAAAAGAAAAATATAATACAGTTTACATTTTCATGAAATTCAAGAACCAATTAATGATGGTTTTGTAATAAATTGGAAGATCCACTTGCATAACCACTCCAATAACCACTGAACAGTAATCCTATTTTTAAATACGTATTACTACATACAAAATGTAAAAAAACTTACAATCTATTATCTCTTGTAATATCTTTTGAGATATCGTTCTAAATTTACAAAAACATGGTATATTTGTTATGTAAATTACGTGACGGTAATACAAAAATACAGTCATTATAATAGACTCCGAGGTCTATTACGCCGCGTATTATATTAACATTTAATATTGAACAAAAATAGCGCCAATATTTTTTTTTTCTAAACATTTTTATTCTCGAAGCGAACGACGCTACCACATGCTACACAGCTATAGGTACTAAATGAAGTTATGAAATAGAGTGGCTCCAGTATACACTCTAGTTCGAGACAAAGACTACCACACTAACCTTTTACCACCTCTAATAAAATCAATTTATTTTAATCTAGGACCAATTTAGAAAGGACGTATTATTATATTTATTTCCATTCTGCATTACCGACATAAAAGTGACTTGTGTACTTATCGTACATTTAAGAATTCGATTTCGGTTACATTTTTGATATATATTAATAAATATGTAAATTCACTGTACCTGAAAATGTATCAAAAACAGTATTTGTATAATAATAAAGTTACTGTCTAGAAAATAAAGGAATGTACTTACACTCAGACATTTTCCCGGCAGTTTTAATAAAACATTCTAAATTTATGTTTACAAATTATTGTTAGTCATGTAAAAGTATGTAAATTATTATTTTACTTTCATGACTAGCTACTTACAGATAAGATTTTTGCAAATACGTCTGTCGCTTTTTTTGTGATTATTAGTTTCTACGTCTGATGTGTTACAGGCATTAATTATACGATATACCCTCTATAATACCTACTCATATCGCCCCATCCCATTTTTAATACTAAATTATTATACCTATTTAGTAACAGGGATTGTAAAAGGTATATTACAATATCAGTAATTAACTATGGTATTATAACATAATATGTTGTATTTGTATGAATCATTAAATATCATTAATAGTTCCATAATATTACGGTGAGTTCGTCTATTTGAAATAACGTCGTTAGTGCAACGTTCATATATGACACTTCACATGTCAGTAGTTTTGTATATGGTTCCCGAAAAATTTGCGTGTATTATTATATACATGCATATATATTGATCTGAATATTTCTCCATATTTATTTAGTAAGTTAACTAATTGTAGTACAATCACTTGAATGATTTGAAACTAAATGGTGTTGATTTGCATGTCCAGCTTTGCTTTTTATTTCTAAACGTTTAATTTTATGCAATATGAGATTCACTTTAAAAACCATTTTCCATTAATTATACAGACTTCAAAAGAATTTATTTACATAGTAAACACGCGGAAACGAATTATAATTACCAACACGTGTATCAAGTGGTTGGTAAACATAATTTTAACAGATACAATATAATACATAGACAGATACTAGCTACAGAGTAATTAAAAAGTGGCGACAAGTTAAGGTAAAAACCCTTTGAAATGATACACCTTTGATACTTGGTTCTTCCAAAGTACGCCTAACGTAGTCTTCATTAGAAAAGAGAGAGTGGTTAGTAACAGGAATGCTTGCTCTAGCATTGGTATCCCGGTAACCTGTCTGGTTGATGTCTCTGTGTTGTCCCCTGTGTCCAAGGGAATCTCACACAGTTTTCCCTGTTGCTGTTGTGGCTTCATAAGCCTAACTTCAGTTAGTTTTGAATAGGAGCGACTGCATCACACACACAATACTAAAATCAGTTACCATATCGAAGTAGCGCCGAGGAAAGCAGTAGATACGCTTTCTAGATTGTGCTGCGAAATTGGATTTTAAATGGTACACTTAGCCAAATTTACCTCTACTGCTCCGATATTGCCCTTGATTTTGGCGTCGTATGTAGACTATTTTAGAGTAAAGTTAGTGCATCTACTGACCTACTCATAGACCCTATCTCTATGTGAAATGTGAAAACTAACAACCACCACTATTAAATGTCATACGGACTGTAGATTAAGTGTCAACAACAATTTATCATAACTATTTTATTATGATTATATTATGTTATATTATGCTTTCCATCGAAACTTGATTTTGGTTCGAAAATATTTCAATAAATTACTGTCTATTTTGTGACATCTGAAACCCGAGTTGAAAAATAACTTGACAGGAGGTAACATTTGCATAGAAAGTGCATTTGCATCTTGTGCAATATATAACTTTAGTGTGTTGTATGTAAGTATACATAAATAGTATTCGTGTAAAAACATTTAACATAAAAATAGCCGTCTGTATTTTACAGTTATTTTGTTTTTTATATTGCTGTTAATATGCCTACATTCACATTTTAGTACAGCGGCGCCTAAATCCATCGCTATATTCCAAAAAAATAATGTTTTTTTCCAATACTCTATAGAATTTAATGATCCAGCTCAATGAATGTGCGACTGGAAACTACGAGAGTTTCAAAACAGACACACATGAAAAAGAACTGTATTCTGTAAATTGTATTAAAATATACGCCTAGACTACTTATTACATTTTTAAATATGTTATTATATGTATCATAATTATGTTTAAAAATAGAATATCAAAGAACGAAACCGTATGATTGACATCTTATTCAGAATAAGGTACATCAATAGACTTAAATATTATTAATATCACTTGTCTATTGAATTGATTGATATCTACATCATTGCAGCGTAGGCAATTAAGAGTCTTATAATATTCATACTTTTAAAATTCGTCAAAAATTACTGAATAATCCTGTCTAATTTAAAATTTTTAGTTCCCAATAAATATTAGAATGTTATAGTACATAATAAACGCTTTTGTATTTCTGAATAATTATCAAAAAAGTAACATTTTTCGTCATAGACATTCCCCATAGCACAAATTGGATAAAAGTAGCATAAAATTAGTTTTCGTTACATATTTTTTGCCAAATTAAAACCAGAAATACCTACTTAAGTCGTTTGAATTTGTATACACCGAAAGACATTTGGGAAAAGAATCACTTCATAATGAGCTAAACGACATCCATGGAAATATAAATATTATTGTTACAAATGTGCTTTCAATGCACGAGGAGAATAACATTGGAACGACAGACTTGTAGTACATCTATTTAAATGCAGCGTAGTTCAAGCCGTTTCATTTTAAACTGGATTAAACAACGTGTGTATATTTAAAACCATTTGACTTTTGACCCCCTCGTGAACGTAAAAACTCTTTCACACAAACCTGTTTTGGTTTATATACTTGCGAGATAAAATGTGTTCCAAATTTCATAAACATATCGAAAGTATTTAGATATTAATGTCCAAAAATCGTCATCAACTGAAAATGTATCAAAAACAGTTTTTATCAAGTTTGATCATATATAGATGCATTATAACCCACTTCAGATGACCTAGGAAGTTCAACATTTGGCATGCAGATAGGTAATTAGCTGAATATAAAGGAAAAAATCTGAAACTGGTAAATTGTTATCATTTTACTACAACACTTTAATTGATTATATTTCAACTTATACTGGACGATTACTAAAATTCTTTGAAAACGTCGATAGCTTTAATTGACATTGATCCCTGGCGAAATATTCATTTGTATAGCAAACTAATATTGTATGAAAACGTCGATCATTTTAAACTTTTACGTTACATTACATCAGTGTCGATAATAGCAAAGTCAAATATTGCAGCATGAGCGAGAAAAATAGTTACTATAATTTTGTATTAAATGTCTAAAATATTCAATACTTATAACTAGGTAATAGTAATTTAAATATTTATTATGTTATTAATGATATTTCAGTATTAATTATTGTTTCAATATTTATGTGCACATCGAGTGTAAAATCATTATTTTTATAAATAATTATTAAATAAACATTTCAGAAAACAGAATTGTTCACTTTGGAGCGGTGCGATAAAACTCAATGTTTTGTTTCTCGATATCTAACCTATAAGGTTGCGATTTATGCTACGAAATTCATAGTTTTCTTAAATTATACTTATATATTATTACATTATTTTAGTAAATACGTATGGTATAGACAATAGTTTAAACCAAAAATTAATAACAATTTTAGTATAGTTATAAGTAGGAATGTATAGTTAACTCGGAATGAGAACTCATTGGTATCCAACGCTGGAGCATTTCTTGATCGTTCAATAGATAACAGTCAATTTGTTACATAATCGTCTTTACGAACTATAACGTGTCAATGTAGTTTCAGATATTAAATAATGTATATGTTGAAAGAGAACAATTCCATTTTTAACATATCTATTTTCACAAATCAAATATTATGTTTTAGCAGTGCTCTTCTCTCATGTATCCTATATATTTAATAAAGGGCTTTACGTTGGACTCTAAGTTAAAATTTCTATTACGTCTTAACAATTTAGAATAAGTCACGAGAGGTCTATTATACATATATATCTGTCTACGTTATATAAATCCCGATTTGCCCAAAAATTTGAAACTGAATTGGCAATGCACTTGAACATTTAAAAGTTACAAGAAAATATAGAAAATAACACAAAAAAAGACAATTATACCCCGTAAATATACGAAAATACAGTAATTTATCAAAAATAATTTGGTATTAATTTAGTTATAAATAAGTACCTCGTATAATTTATGTACAAAAAGTAATGATATCTCATCAAAAACATAAATGTGAAATGACCATAGTTTAATATTATGATATATACCTTGATTGTTGACTTCTACGATAAAAGAGATGAGATCTAAATGGGTGCTAAGTTCAATGGTCTGTCCTGAAATGTATTTATAACAATATAAAATATCATTTCTTCTTATAACTTATGATAATATACTGTATTAAGGTTTAACTACATAGAATATACGAAATATACTGTAGCCTTCGCAAGTTCTAAACATGTTACTTGTCGGTTCCTATTTTAATATTAGTACTAACTAGCAATAGAAAGTAATAATTTATATGAAACTGGCCATTTTATCTTGACATATATTAGATAAATTATAAGAAAAATGATATTTTATATTGTTATAAATACATCTTCAGGAAGATATTGAACTTGGCACCCATTTAGAATCTCATCTCTTTTATAAAAAACAATCATTATATATCATTTATTAAACTCGGCTATCATTTCACATTTATGTTTTTGATGAGATATATTTAAATGCAGTAGTTCGTTCTCATTTTAGTCGATTAAACAACTGTGAAACTTTTAACAGTGTTGATGACCTGCTCGTGAACGTAAACGATACTCTATCATGCACTGTTTTGATGTTTATATACTGAAAACGGTTATTATAAAACTTCGATAGTACCGAAGTAACCGCCCGCATCAACTAAAAGTTTTCATATAAGCATGCATATTCTCAGCCCGAACACATTTTACTATGCGCTGTTCATACCATCATAAGTAACGATTTTAACACATAATTCTTATTCTACTTAAACATTAATCTTTTGTTGCTTTATATGACTGTATGTTGGATTTGATTCTGAGATAGCATTCTTTAAACGAATTTTAAGACTTTTAGTTACATTATCATTTGAAGATACAAGTTACGCCGGCATGACGAGAAAAATATACAGATTATTGTATTAAATACTGTATATTATTCAATTCTCATAACTTGTAATAGTAATAAATAAGTGTAAAGAATGACATTTCAGATTTTTTCTATCCGATTATGTGTACTCAAATTAACAATTAATGTCTACATATTTACATAAACACAGAAAACAGAATTGTTCACTTTGGATATAGTAAAAAATAAAGATACAATTTATATTTATTAATTCACCCTTTTTTGAACTTAAGAAGTAAAATACTTGTTATCAAATATACCGCAATCCAAATACCAGTGGATATGAATCCAGAATATACTGATGGAACACCTATGGACCATCCACGCTGGAGCATGGATCGTAGAGACTCCGTCGATTTTGTGAGTGGAAGTACGAAGCTAATCCATTGTAGGACTATGTGCATGGCTGGAAAAAGAAAACATTTTTATTCTAATTTCAAATTCAAATATTATATATTTTTTGCTTTCTCTGTTATATAATGATTTTTAAAAATCTATACAAATTCTAAATTCAAATTTCTATTGAGAACTAAATAAATAACGAAAGTATAATATATATTTCTATTCGATAAATCACAGTAATTTTAAATTCAGAACTGCATTACTTTCAGAAAGTTCTGACTAGTGTAATAATAAAAAAGACATACGAGAGATGATAATAAAAAAATCTTACCTTCTATTGGCCAAATAATACCACATAGTAAGACCATAGGCAAAAATGATCCCAGGGCCATATAAGTGGCCGTTCTATCGGTATCACACAAACAAGATACTAAGAAACCTGCAACAGAATTCAATAATATCATATTGTTATTTGAAAACGGACTTATTTTTAACTACATAGAATAACGAAGTCAAACTATGACATAAACAAGGAACAACCTGAATAAAAAATTTTAAACAAAATCTTATCTTGAATTTATCTTGATTTATAAAAACAATACTATATACATTTGAACGAATAATAGCGATGGCGATGTATAATTATAGATATTCATTAGTTGATGTTTGTACCTCGATTAACTACTTATTAATGGTTGAATGTCTTAAATAAAAATTGTCATAGAATTGGGAAATATTAAATTAAAAAAAAATACAATAAACTTACCGAATGTCATACCGCATAAGCCTGTCATAAGGACCAGTAATGAGATCCATCCAATGGGTCCATTTTGACTGAGACCAAAGAGGGCGAAGCTGATTAACATCACCATGATAGACTGGATTGCCATTACAAAAATTTGCACAGTTACATGTGAGAAAAGGATTTCAGTACCTGTAGACAAAAATTATACTTTTAATGATATTTTTACCTCATACGAAAGCTTTAGAAAAGAATGAAGTCTGTTGAAATCTGTCTGTCATTTTAAACGAAACATTTTATATGCTTCTAATAAAATAAAATATGTAAAAGTATGTAAAAATTTTATGAATAATCGAATTAGAATTATATTTGCAGTTAAAAATAACTATATACTAAATAGGACGAAAGGCGATAAAGTAATTATTTTTCTCCCATACATCTGACATGAAATAACAATTTTATGAAAATAGCATTTTCTATAACTAAATTAGCAAACAATAAAAAACAATATATAAAAAATAACTACGAAATTCAAGTCATTATGTGATACCCGTGATAGCTCACATTCGATACCGATCCTGATAACTAAAGGACTATGACTCCATACCCAGAAATTTCACCTGAATAAAGCTTACAAAGCAAACTCCTCCAAAGTCGCTCGTAGGGACACCGTGTGGTTTTTTTAGTGGATAAGAATTCCAGACCTCCTTCTGATGGGTCTACGATCTTTTAAATATTTTTCCAAATAACAAACATGGTGGAAGAAACAATCGAGATAGAAGTATGCACATACGCAGATGCCATTAGTCTGTAAAGTACAGTCTCTACTGGTCAGTCATGGAAAATAATTAGACTTGCCTTATTCTATTTATTAAGCCGACGATGTGAAGAGTATGTGGTCGTCTTAAATCTTTCACGTGACAAATGTCATTAGTTTCGTCAGGATAGTAGCTGCCGTTATGTCTCGGGGGCATACTATTGAAGCTCTAGGTTATCGGAAAAACATTTTATATAAAGCGATCGCGATCAATCCTTTACAGCCCAAGGGATTTAAACTTTCTAGAATGGTACATGCTGCGGACATACCGTGTCAACGGCAATTGGTGCAAAATTGTAAATCCTATTCACAATGAAAGTAGGTACGTAAGCAAGCGAATTACGTTGATATATAAAAAATTGCTAACTGAGAGAGTAAAGTAAGAAATTATAATCAACGACAATATGATCAATCTAATCCTATTGTAATTTCGATTTGATTAAAAATTATTCTAAACTTTAGAAATAGGTTTCACGGTAGAGATTCTAATCTCTATTCTAAGTAAGTTTCTAATTCATGTATGTTATAAATACTCCAATATTATTAGAAAGTGCCCTATTTGTTTACTACCCGGATTTAGATTGCTGATATACAGTCGGTTTATCGTCAGGTTCCCCGAATGTTATAGAATTTTATCACTTGGACTTAAACATATCAGGAAGTTTAACGTAATTCAGACTGTTTTTGTCTATTAACTAATACATTCAAAGCGAAAATTGTTGATGTAGTCTTTCAAAAATATATATACTGCACGAACACTAATTAATATTAGAACCCACACCTCTATCTGAGTTATAATAGGATCTATACAATATTCTAAAAAATTGGTACTTTTCAACTAAACTCAAGCATATAGCGTCACGGCATAAAACTAGTTATTGTATATATGTTTTACAGAATTCACAATTGAATTGTTTCACGTCCGCCCATTCACTCTCAAAGGATAGTCACGTATACATATGTTATGTTATTTGCCACTTTCCGCCTTCTCAGCAGATCCCTATCCCTAGACGCTGTGCTGGCCCTAAATGTAAGGAGGTCAGGATGTCTATAAGCAGTATCGGAAATTAGGGTTGAATATTCTCAGTGAGTCATCAATGTGTCATCGTCGCTTTATAATACATCTTTTGTACATTTGTTAACGATCTCTATTATTATATAAATTGTCTATTAATTGTTATTATATAAATTGTATTGCTAAATAAATTAAACAATAGGGGTTGATGGTCGTCCAGAAAATGAAAAATCTCTGTTTACCCACAATTGAAATAGAGAAATGCAGGTATTTATTTTTTGTGGATGATAATGAAATGATGCACCCGCCTGCGCGAACATTCTACGCTGGCGGGGCACCAGTGAAAGATGATAATATGACTATGAGGTCAGGTCAGTTAGCCCGTCGTGACAAATTCACTAGGAATTTATCATGATGGTTTCTAGGAGGAACCGCGTGGAGGTCGACCTAACATGGTACATTGCTAGCAATGGGGATTACTAGTTCCCATTATTAACAATCCCCTCCCCCCAAATGCAGGTATTAAGTCCGCCAAGCGTACTTTTATTTGTGCACTTAAGTATTAATAAATAAATAGTAGATGGCGTATTCTATTGTGTATTGAGCCTTGGTGGACCAGCGGTATAGCCGCGCTTTACTTCCGATGGTCACTGGTTAAATTTCTCATACAGTATAAATATTTATTTTCATGAGCATGATTATTTGTATTAGACTAGTTATTTCCTATATGTATATATATAGCTCTGATTGTATGGGACAAGATGACACTATGTGAATTATGCTCGGAATTTATTATTATTATTTAAAATTAATAAATAGGAAATATAAATTTAGCCCTTGGAGAAATTTTTTAACATTTCTTTGGATTGTCTTGACCAATATTTAACAACATATTCGGTAAAAATTTTATTGTAAATCCTCCAGTAGTTATAACGTGAATCGTTAAGACGAAAAGAGACACTTCTACTTCGACTTTGCGTTGTCACGATTTTATTAATTTATTATGTTTAAATATAAAGACTAGCTTTACAGGAGTATTGCTCATGCAAAACTTGTTAAATTCAATTTTAGTGAGGAATTAGAAAGCCTATTCAATAGACAGTCATATGACGTCGTGTGTTAAGGTCGTAGTAGAAATATATTCAAATTTCGAATTTCTAGACATCTATTGAGAAAGTAATTACTCAGTACGCATACGTTAATGAGGTTTGGGTGAACTCATACAGTCGCCCCCTCAGTCTTAAAAACACAAAATAACTTATAGACCTAAAATTAAACAGTCATATCCTATCTTTCAAACTATAATATTTGACAAAACACTACCATTGATATGAGTTTTGAGATGTTTCACTATTTATTATTTTGTTTTATAACAAACTAATAAGAATTCGCGAAAATAAAATGACAATGCATGTATATGTTGATGTATATGTCAATAATATAATCCAGGTACTCCGTAAGCTAACTCGTATGTTTAAATAAGAAACCTGATAAAACTTTCGTGAGAAGAAAAATGTAATTGTCAAAACTTACCAGTAATACCGGAAACGAGTGACCTTTCAAGAATGCCCTCGTTCCTTTCAGCCAACATGGCGCCCGATGTCAATGCCACCGCCAGGAAGTAAATAATTCTGCAAATTCAATATTAAAATTCACTATTGTTTCCATGGTGTCTATTGATAATTAAAATAAATTAATCATTTGATAAATTTCATGTAGATGAAGTCTTCAACATTTTGATGTTTACAATATTGCCAATGTAAAGTCTATCCGGATTGTGAACAATATTTCAGTTTAAAGTGTATGACATATAGTAGTAATATTACAGAGTACTGTGATGCTAGTGATGTTACTCATATATAATACATAAGCCATGGCTACTACTTTCCATCAGGACAGCCATTTGCTAGTTTGCCAAGTAAACAAACGATAGAAGGATTCATTTAATTATTATTATGGCCATGCAAGGTTTATGGACAAAACAGATGTAGTAAATAAATAAACATGTGATTGATCAAGAAATTATGCAGTCATTTAGTTATACATTTGTACAAAAAGAAACAAAACAATATTGCAGCCGAACCTTCGACGTTCCATATTCAAATTATTAATTTTATTTTTGAGCAATACCTAATGGCTATTTTTACAAATAGAGCGCCAACAACATCCTTAAATAGTAAAAGCTATAATTAAAATTTTAACATACGTCAATATCACGCCAGGAGCTGCGAAATCAGTGAAATCTGAATCTGTGACACCATATATAGGAGCATTGAACTGAAACAATTGTTTTATATTTAAATATATACTATTAAATACACAGAAGTCAATTCACTAAATAACAAATACGTAGAGTCAATTGTTCAATGATACTTTTCAATGTTACAATGTAAGTTAATTGAGCAAAAAAATTGTCTTAGGTAAGTAGGTATACGCATTTAAATAGTACATTAATTAAATGTTTCTAAATGTATAATTCTTTATAACGAATATTTAATTTATGCGCTACTATAATTTGCCATAATAATATGATTATTTTTGAACCCATTATATCTTGTAATATCCATTAAATAATTATTTAAAAACAGATGTAGGTGAAGAGATTAGACTCGAAACCATTAAAATGGTTTGCTCTAGCTAAACGGTAAGAGGAGATTTATCTTGCTGCAAGTTACATAAACCAGACTTCGAATTATGTCACAATATGTAAAACTGATCCATATATTTAATGCCATAAGATTCGAATTTGAAGAATTTGAATGGCATGCACATTAAATGTTACAGCTTAATTGGAAATTCGAATTCCTAACCAGAATTATGTTTTTTTTAATAGGGAAAGTACAATAATAAATATTTGAACTTCTATATTCGGCCAGTTTCATTTAGTGTTGTATTGTCAGAAACAAATAAGCAGTTTCAGCATTTCAGCTCAATAAGGGTCGTTGTTTACAAAGCCGATTGCTGCGTACATGAAAATAGTAAAAGACAATTTGTATCACTTCTTTTATCTTATTTGTTCACGTACCTACGAGTCATGTGTATTAAGAATCTTCAGGATACTAATAATAAGTTCCATATAAGGCCCAAAAAATCCTGTTTACATTATACTTACATGTATTTCCTTGTCTACTTCTTATTTATTTTTAGTACGTATAGAATAAAGATTAAGACAATTTAATTTAATAATTATTCTATATGTGTACGTAATTTAACCTGAAGTTAATAATAAAAAAACTTACATTAACAGGAAGCGAAAATATCCTGGGCGGTAATTGACAGACTTCTGCCAAATAATCCACGGTCTCGGCAAACGCCAAACTAAGATCTTTTGTTAGTATCCATTCCATTTGCTTGTCTGTAGACAAAACAAAATAAAATTGTAAGCAAACTTTAAAACATAATATATTTTAGCTGGATGACTAGTCTAAGATATGTAAATGCAAATAATGTTTTAATACGTACGTAGGTCATAAGTTACAATTTACAAATGAGACAACCCACCTAATGGAAGATGGAATAGAATCATCGCCTAAAGGCCTTTTGGTACTTCTCATGTTCAGACTAAAATATTTAGGTGTAGTGTAATTAAACATATTTATTATTGACGGCCTAGTTAGTCTAGGACATTCTTTTACTTCCTGAGTAATTATGTTAGTTTACTTGCTACTATCTAGCTTGGGACTAGATGACGTTGTGTGAATTGTCCGATTCGTGAATCGTCGTCGATGTTTATATTACTATTAATATGTTATATATTTTAAAGCAAAGAATGGCAATATTTGTAAGCCAATTGATGTTTTCTTGTCAGTAATAATTATATATTCTTATATTAGTTTCAATCTATAATGACACTGTAGTAAGATAATTTAAACAATATATTTTTATCAAAATGTCTATAAATAAAAGTAGTAATATTTTCCGTGACACTGAGATTATCGAAAGCTAAGAAAAAAAAATTAGAATATGATTTTTATCTGATAAGTATTTCCGCCTTTCGGAACAAATTCATTGCTATTGACATGCCTATATTTTGCCAAGCATTAATGACACAGGGACGAGTTTTCTGCTGTCTCCCGGATTAATTTGATTTGTTGACAATGCTTTTCATTAACGGTGAGTTAATAGGATTTTTTAATTATATTTACCAGGAACGAAGTCATGATTGTTATTGTAAGTCGTGAACGGAAATGCTTTACGAATATTTCGTAAAACAGACCATTATTTTTAAATTTGGAACAAACTTCGATCCGTCTGAGGAATGAAAGTGGTTACTGTCACCTTGTTTATGGCCGTTGCAAAACGTATTGCAATATCCAATACCTTGCCATTAATGACTATGGTGTGTAATTTCATTGCCATATGCTACTCTCGACATCGATACAACTTACACTTGCGCTATTTACAGTAGAACAAAATAAGAAAAAGTATTTGTCTTTGTACATACTGTATCTCTGATGACTTTAATACATTATGGAGAAACCATAATGGACATATATAAAAACGTAATATACAGGACTAATGAAAAAACGTTAAAAATAGATTAAAAAGTACTATAAAATCAGACTAGCTAAAAGAGGGAACAGTAGAAATTTAATTACCAGCAATTTGTTATTAATTGCCTTTGCGGCTCGCGGTTTTCCCTACAAATGCAATTAAAATGGTAGCTAAGCTAAAATTCGTGATAAATTATTTTTGATGATGCTGAAAACCATTGATATCGACTCCACTCGATTGGTTACATTCCATTTTCGAAATTCAAAATTAAATAGCCATTACTAAAATTTCATTGTGTTCATAAAGATTTTATATTCAAGATAGATAATTGGATGTAATAAAAATACTGTATTACTTTTTTCTATTATTGAAATGGACTGAAGTTACAGGGTCGGAAGCATAACATCTTAGTACTGGGGAATAGCAAAATATGAAGGGTAATATAGGCGTGATGATGGTATACGATGACATGATATTTGTGGCTCCCATTATATCCCTAGGCGACGGCTGCGGCTTACCACCAGGCGGGCCAGGTGTGGCAATTTCACTTACTTTAACAAAATGAACTGAATCTACAAAGAAGCAAAAAAAAATATATAAATATAATTTCGTTTAGTAATAAATTGACCACGTGGATCACTCAATTTGTATGAAGTTTTTGAGAATTATTTTCTATATTCCATTTCACTAGTCATAGTGAATATTGAATATAAAATTACAAGAACTAACAATTTGAAATCTGAATAATACAAAACTTTCTGCCTTTCGTAATGTGAGTACATTGTCATCTGTGTCACAAACAGTCATACGAGAAGGTCGACATTTGTATACCTAATTATTTAAAATTAACAACTAGGTTCTGTCATGTAATAAATGACGCATTGGTGGCTAATGAATTAATTAGTATACATATTTTAACGTTATGATTTTACTAAGCATAAAGATTTTATGCAAGAAGCACGCATGTACATAAGTACCTAAAGATTGAACGCACCTAATTATTTCCAAGTCGAATGAACGACCTAACTATATCGAAGTCAAAATTAATTCTCCATTTCAAATCGTAACTGCTAATTTCTAATGGCGAGATTGTCATTAAAAATTTAGCTCAAGCCCAACAAATTTAAAGTTCAAAATCAACTGGGGATGCGGATATAAAAATCATCAAAGACCCGATCATTGCGATTGCCCCTCTGGTAGCATAAATCTAATTTAAATGCAAATGATGTGAAATGCTGCCTTCCGTCTATTTCAGTGGGAGGGTACTTAATTTATGTACGCAATTTACATGGTGTGTATGTGCATCGAAATTTATGAAAGATCAATTATTAAAATATCCCATCGTAGGCTTTCCATAAATATATTATATTATATTTTAGCAAAACAAAGTTCATGTGTTATTTTATTATACGATACAATGAAATTTTAGAATATGTTTTCGATAATAATAAAGACTTGAAACTTTTTTTTTATGTTGTTTGTTGTTTATATTGTATTTTTACATTGCACTGAATAAAATATTTTTCTTTCTTTCTTTCTTTCTTTCTACATCAAAACAGTACAGAGAGAATTACTTTACTAAATCTATGTAAAAAAGAAAACAAAACAGAACTTTCATAAGTCTTCCTTTGTATGGTTTATTATGGTGTAGAAAATCTGATTAATAAAACGGAAATAGCATTCAATTTCACCTAAAGTTACAATAGACAGAAATAGATTACTAGACTAGATCCCCTTCATTCGCATACTTTTTGCCACAAAAAAGGAAATTCTTGTAGTTAAGTCTAACTAGGAATATCTGCAGTCAATTATGTAATTTTTTTGTTCCATTTAAGAATACTAATTATGTTTGAAATTCAATACATGAAATTCTGACTTAGTGAAACTATTTTACTATTAATTGGTACAAAAAATTCAATCGTTTGAGCAATATTTGCAAATGTTTCAATTTTAAATTACTGCAATTGAAAAGAAAATTACACTTACTCGTATCGTCCAAATGTACGTCTATAACAGAGCTCTCGAGGGTATAAATATCAGTATGTCTAGGGTCAGTCATTCTATCTTGCAGACTCTGAGTGAAGTTGTGAGGTATGATAAGAACAATCCTGGCGTTGCCTTTACGCGCGTCAGTCATTGCGGCTTCTTCAGTTGGATAATAGACCTGTAATAGTTTACGAACAAATTATTTAAAATATACTTTTGTACCTGCATGAAAATCATACGCTGCTCTTATTGGAAATAAATACATTAAAACATATAAGTAATATATATATCGCCATAAAAGTTGGGATAACATTGTTAGATTCAGCTTTTAAAGTCGTGGTGAACGAAACACTTGATTTAACTTGACAGACAGACAGTAAAACGCAGACTAGAGGTCACTCAAGTCTGCATTTTACTGGCCGTCTCCAGCATTCATTTTTGTCTTCTTCATTGACAAGACACAAATGTAAATTGACACACGTTTTTTTTTGTATCAGCCAAATATCAACTTATGACCTTTTGGCTAGTAAACTAAATTAATGTTATAAAAATTCCGTGATATCGCAAAGAAACCGTATAGTCCTAAATACTAGACCTACGTAGTATTACATACACGCCCTCCGATGTGTCTATATATAAAACAATTGACAATCATCATTTAACCCACTAAAATAATCAAGAGAAAATAAGCTAGAATTTAAAAACCCGTTTGTTAGAAGCCATAATATAACACACTGCATAACATTATTTATGTGTTATTTTTAAACCTGCCATGTTGTTCAAGAGAGCGGGAAACTGAAGGACGTACTTACTTTGTCGATAATGCTAGGAGTTACTGTGGGGAGAAATGTCATCATTATTTTGTATGACACCACCATATATTATATGTAATGATTTATTGTAAAAATATTTTGAAATTATTTACTTTTTACCTGTTCTTTATATACTCATCCTCTTAATAAGGAAAGGTTAAACTTACAAATACAATTTTAGTTGCTAATCTTATTTGCTACTTGAATCAAGTTATTTTCTTAATTTGGAAGAATATGACAAAGCACTATTACTTGATACAACGAGGACACTCTTCTTCTAATATGGATTAGCATGATTACGTACTATTTTAGTTCTTGATTTATAGAAAACTCTATTGAACTACCTTTATTATTATCACTATGTAATATTATGTTACCTGTGTATTACATACATTATCTAACCTGCACTATCCTCTTTGGACTTATAATCACGAAAACATTTATATATTTATTTATTCTTTTTATATGCCAAAATTTTAATACTATCTGTGCACGGATAAATTTACGAGACGCTGCTGTAGTATGTAAACTTTTCCTTCGAAATCCAATCTTGAAGTGAGTTTGTACTACAAATCACTAGAGTTAATACAAACTGTATCCATGCAAGTGAGTAACGGCATGATTTACTTAGTTTTACGATCGAGGCTTAAATTGCCAATAACTGTTGAAATCTTGAGTAATCATCTAAAGGTAGTAAATAAATCTATCTTTATTGTCTAGTTTATACATATGTGTACTGTACTAGCTTCAAGTCACGAATTTGTGTGATTGGCAGAGTTTGTATAATTTCCTACGTGAGTGCAAGCAGCATTTCGAATGAGAGGTAAGAGATCTCTACGCGGTTCCCCCTGGAAACCATCGTACTAAATTCTTGATGACCAATTCTGTCACATTGACGAGCTTACTCATCTGACCTCATGCTCATCTTATCATCAACCACTGGTACCCCTTTCACTTCACTTTCATCACTTTCCATCAAGTAGATCAATTTATTTTTTAATAAACACATCTTACATAGCAGGATAAATACTTACCAAATTGCTCTGTCGTTTTTTTAAAAAGTCCAAATATCTACAACTGAAAAGCGTCAGATTCCATTCGTAAGACTCCTTATCTTGAGGACATATGTCTTTGTTATAATCACACAGTGTCATATTGTTATTCGTTTCGTAGTCAACGACTGCAACTGGTAGTCCGGTAGGGTAGTGACCGACGGCCAGACAGAAGAGAGTCATTTGGATAACAGGTAGACCGATTATAAAAGCGAGGACCCTGGAAGAAATAATAATATCTAGTATCTGTTTCACTTCGATTGCTTGGTATTTTACTTAGACCATTCTGTATTGTAAAAAAATCACATAATAGATGCATATTTTTAGAGTAAGACCCGAGCCAATATAGAATTTTTCCCATTGGAAAGCAGCGGCGCCAAATTTGTATCGTCCAAAAGTATCATTAATTCGAAGCAGTGAATCTATAATAAATTTACAGTTTTATTTCAGTAATTTTACTAAACCATTTTCTACTGGACAGTAGTCCAGTAGAAAATAAACGATGTGTGCCTGTTGTATTGTGTGCATCAATGTTTATAAATAGATATATATCTATTATTATATATAATGTATATGCTATTTGGTACTTATACTCTGTTGATAGCCAATGTTCTATTTACTGGAGGAATTTGAAATTTAAGCGAGGCATCTAGAAGAGATGTTATCATCGCACTAAAAATATAACAATACACTACAAATAATAAACACATTAAATATACTGACTTCTAGAATTCGGCAAACCAGGGTTGGCCACATACTTATTAGCTATAAAGTATCAGATTACACTCAGCTAACAACTACATTTGTAGTGCATAATAATATAAGCTAATATCTTACCCGAAATTCCTTACAAGACTTAACATATTCTTCCAAATCAGAGCCTTCATATGATGCCACTTCATCGGCTGAACTCTCTGTAAGCAGTTGAGAGTGGGCTCCTCGTCGGGAGGTAGGGCGTCCGCGGTCGTCAGCAGTTCTGGTGTTACCACTACACGACCTTTACTACTCATGGATACATTATCTCCAAATTCTCCAGAGATTTCGCCAATCTCCCCCTCTTCCAAGTCTACAGCTGGATTCTGAAGGAACATGATAAGTATGAGAGTCACTTTTTCTTAACAATTTGTAAATATTTCAAAATTAAACGTAAAGATAACATACAATAGATTATAAATTATATTGAATCAAATAAAGTTTTTAAGCACTTTTGAATAGTATTTTTTATTCTAATGCCACATACAGAATCAGTATTAACTTTATCATAACACACTTTGCACTTAGCCATTAGTTAAACACTAGTAGCTACATCGTAAATATTTTGCTTTTCAGTAGCAATTTATGTAAATTGTAATATTTTCGCTTTTCAGTGTTAGATGACCTTTATGTTTTGGAAACATGGCACCAAGTTACTAAAATAAATAATGTAGACAAATATGTATTCTAGGAACTCTGTAATTCTGTACTTCGCTATTTTATTTTCTTAACCAATAATGCTGTAGTGTGAAGGGTTATCATCTCACTACTGGAGTGTTATACATGATGTGATGAGGTGTCGGTACTTAATTTGTTTCCTATAGTATCTAGGTAATGAATGTACTGATGTAAAATTGTTGATCTACATTAATAAGTTTATTTAATAGTTTACTACATGTCTAATTAGCAACGCGTACACAAATTTATCGGTTTCTTTATGTTTTTCATGTGCGTTCATGTGCTTCATTTTAGGTTAATATTTCGATTTTTAGAAACCATCTCATTCACCATCACTCCGACCATCACATTAGTTTACTCTACTTCTTGATAAATTAGACTAAGATTAAACTAAGAAAATTAGGAATAAAGTATGATAAAAAATATGAACTCTAAGCAATATCGCTTACAGGTATGCCAGGAAGTTCAACCTTATTCACAACATCGGCTAAAATGCTAGATCGTCTTCTCTTGCCTCTGTTCTGTAAAACTGACAGCTTGAGGAAGACGTCTTCTAAACTTTCTCCCTGGTATCGTCGTATAAGTTCGGTTGGTGATTCTTCGGCTAGGAATCTACCGCCTCGCATTAGTCCTATCTGTGAAAATAAAATATAACTTAAAGTAACATCCATTTAACTTTTATAAGTCAGTTGGCTAAACGCGAATAAACTAAGTGTTTTCTCTTTTTTATGTCCTGTTTGATACATTGCATTCACTGATTTCTGTATAAAAATGTTAGTTTAGATACCAGGTATCGAACTTTGCCGAAATTTGATGGTACTCGCAGTATCTGTATCACAATCTCATATTATGATCAGGGAACTAATTATTATTAGAGTCGGTAGATTTCCACATTTATTAACGTAGAGACTCTACCAAGTTTATATTCGCTAGAATTCATTCCATGTATCTTTAGTACACTGTACAACAAAAATGGGAAAGTAGTCTATTTTCTGCTCAACTTGGCCTAGTACCACCACCATCCTTTTTATTATTAGATCAATAAACTAAAGTTCTGATTAAATTACTATATTCACCCTCAGTCACCTGTCTACAATTATACAGATATAAAAACTGGTTTTGAAGAAACAAAACGAAATTTTATCAAATACATATCATAATAAAAAATAATAGTTTTTTATATAAGGAAGGCTACTTTTAGAACTGTAAAGATTACATACTTAAGGATTTTCTATAAAATTATTTGAAGAAAAATATAAGTTATTTAAAAAAGTAATTACTTATATTAAAAAATAAGTTATTTACATTTTTAAATTGGTAAGATAATTATATACCTACATATATATAGAAGTAAGGCCTAATAACATAAAGCGATACTTACAATATTCGCCTGTTTAGTTTCGTCAATGTAGTGAGTAGTAATGATCACAGTGGTACGGCCTCCTTTTGTTATCTCCACTAGATGGTCCCAGATGCTGCAAACAAGGTCTAATTGTTATTACTATTTACGAGGCATGCGTGTCTATTGTACCTACAACATGATACAGTACTCGTAGCTTTTAAGCGAATAAATTACTGCATGTTCGATAATATAAGTAAAAAAAAATTTTATCCATATAATCTAAATTACATAAATGAATCGAAAGTATGTCTGTCTTATTTGTTCCATTTTTACACCTAAACGGCTGTGCGGCTCTAAAAAAAATTTGACGTTAAGATAGATTATACTGCGAAGACGGAGATGCTCTATCTTGTATGTATCTCAAAAAATAATCTGTAAGAGCTTAAAATAGGAAATGAATGTTGGAATCGCATAATTTTTATAAAAGTTAAATTTCGATATGTAATATTTTTTACTGTAAAATAGACTTACCTTTGTCGTAATACAGGATCCACACCTACGGTCGGTTCATCCAAGATCAACAACTCAGGGTCGTGGATCAAAGCTGACGCTAATGATACACGGCGTTGCTGACCACCTGAGAGATTCTTCACGTGCCTGTATGTGAAAGGAAAATATTTAATAATCTTTCATCTAAATAGAAAATTAAATTCTACAAAATTTAGACCAAGAGACAGCGGTAAGTTTGTTTATAGTTAGCTTCATATATTCTCAAATAAATGTGGCTTCATCATGTGAAGAGTCCACCAGTATTTAGAGATATTGATAACGTCGATAATTATCAATATCTCTAAATACTGAGAGTGTTTAGAGATATTGATAATTGTCGACGTTATCAATAAGGATGTTATTTTTCATTTATAAACATTTATAAACGGTAACCTTAACTCTTTTATATATTTTTAAAATAATGTCTAGTATTTTAAAAATATCTAAAGAATCAATCCCAAAATCAAATCCCACCTTGAATAAACTAAGCAAGGTTTGATATATAGATACTAGACAATTAATAAATACATACATTTTATGCAGACAAGTAACATCTGAAAATCTAATTACTCATATATTATTGTTATCATATACACAAGTCACAAATTATAGTGTACTTTTCAAATAAAAGCCTGGAGCTAAAGCTTTTATATAAACACATACAGGTTATCAAAAACGTCAAGAATATAATTATGGTTTTCCATACATCAATCCTTTTAAAACCATTTTTTTTTATTTGGCAACCTTAAGTAAACAAGCTCCCTGCTCATCTGGTGATAAGTAATAACCATCGCCTATATACAGGAACAGTACTACAGATACCATATTAGCACGTGATGACGCGTTGCCATTCATGAATACTAAGATGTCATGACTCCTATCCTCCAATTTTACTGTGTTATACTTGTCGTTTATTGAGAAACTTCATATTCACCTTGATAGATCAGGAAGCTGTAGCAACGAGACCATTAGATCTACCCGCTGTTCCACATCTCTCGTAGAGAGTCCAGCAATCCAACCGAAATACGTCATTGTTTCTTTTATTGTAAACTCGCCAAACAATGCAATTTCCTGAAAATATAAAAAATATTAATAAATAATTACTGATCGTATTTTATTTTGTACATTATAAAGGACTTTTAAAACTTTGGGGATGACAAAGGCATTAGGATTTTCAGTGCATTAAATGCTACTACGCTTTCTAAACAATTAGTTTTTCTTATCTGAAGGAGCAAGTCGAAATGGATGATAGTGGTGATAAAAAAAATTACATTATCTCTCATATTATAATATGTATATAGCATCATTTTTATCTATACATATAAATAAAATTGGAGTATCTGTTTGTAATATTGAAATAACCGTTTTTTTACTACATGCAAATACGGTACATACACCAAAATAACATTTTTTTTAATTGTTGTCTATCTGTCTGTATGTTCCGGCTAATTTCTGAAATGTCTGGGCCGATTTTGACGGGACTTTTTTTGGCAAGTAGCTAATGTAACAAATAGTAACGTAGGCTACTTTTATTTTAGAAACATTATTTTATATTAGAAAAATAAAGTATAATTCCATGGGAACGAAATCGCGGGTACAGCTAGTCACTAATAAAGTCACAAAACTCTAATATGAATAGACATGGTATCTTAGTAAAATAACAAGTGTCTCCCGTAAAAGAGCAAAATAACATTCTTACAGCTAGGTAGGGCGTGGTAATTGTCGTCACCCGGGGTAATAATTCTGAGACCGAGCATCCTTTTATTTTTTATCGTCTGTGGTCGTCCATAAATGAGGTACTTTTAGAACGACTCGATAATATATTTTGTTTATAAAATATTGTATTCTCGTGTACACTTTTATGATGGTAGACCTATACTTTTCAAAATATAATGTATATCACAACGCTCTATGAAAATTTTTAAAAATAATTATGTTTCGTTGTTACCTGCATAATATAGCTTTTTTAAAATTAACATTTTTTTTAATATATATATGATATATATTATATTATAAATTAGGATAGGTCTGGTATCCAGTAATTTCACTGCCTGCTGGGAGAGATGACTCTCCCTTCGAGCGAAACACATCTTACAAAACAAGCTGCTTGAGACAGAGGTGCCTGTGCAGACGACTTCCTACAAAGTCTATATCTGTAAAGTACATAATATTTTTAACTAAAAGAATTCTGATATAAACGTAACGATTCCGTTTTACAAACCCCAATATTTATGTCAGATTAAAACTGATATTTATATTAATGTATATTGATAAAGCATTAGCTAGAATGTTTGAGAACACAAACGTTCCTTATTATCCGATATTGACACGGACTATTAAGTTCAGATCGAATGTCTGCAAAACAAATAGGTACTACCAGTCTGATAGATTTTGTGTTATGTAGCGCGTAACGGAACGGGTAATTGCAATGAGAAATTCATAATCGATAGCTGTTTGTTAGACGCGATTTCGTCTGCTTTAAGGTAAAAGATTGTCTATATCAGAGATAGTAATAGTTTTACGTCTTTTAATTAGGATTCTTTCAGAGGTATTCTCGAGAAAAATCATCAAACATACACGCTTTAGTATTTATAATATTAATACAGATACATACTAATGGAACTAAAATCGATCTAGTATGAAACTATGTGTATATTTTATTCAAAAATTAAAACTACATATTGGAATTTTTTAAATAGTCAAGTACATTTATTTGTATATTTAAATTCCTAGAAATAATTATGAACATATTATTATCTCAAGTGACTGCTATGTATTATTTTTATGTTGCCTGTATACTGAATAACATTGTTGCTGATTAATCTTAATGCCATATAATCAAACATATATAATCTACATGTTTTACAAAGTGTTTATATTTTGATCCTATGAACCGGATTATTCTGATTAGGATACTATTTTATTACTTGCTAAAATTAATACATTTGTGTAGATATATATGTTATGGAAGATGTAGAGAAACATTGTATTAATACTTTATTAAATCACTAGTCGAATTTGGCCATACCCAAATACAATAAAAGAGAATTTTCTTCATATTTTTTCCAATGTTTTAGAACTTATCGTATTATTGGGTACAGAGACAAATACAATATCTGAAGCAGCGTAAAAATCAGTCTATTTTTAGTTACCAATAGTGCAAATAACCGGCTTTGTTTTGTTTACATATAGATTACGTTTCTGTTAAGGGAAACTCGATGTATGTCAATAAATAATATGTGCAATACCCAATGTAGTATGTAGTTCCAATAATTACTATATTATTAGAAACGCATGGAGGTACTAACAACAAAAATCAAAATATTCAATAAAATATACAGTTATTCACGTAGGTCTTTTACAGTCTTCTAAGATATGTCAAATCTACCGTCAGTTCGGAATGCTTTCGAGATAAGAAGAACTGACAAAAACTCAGCTTTCTTTTCAAGTATGATTGCACATGTTTACAACAATACATATTTATTTTTAAATTCAAATATCGGAGCATAGAATGACCACCAATATATGCAGTTTTCATAGCCAGAACAGACCAATCCCCACAAGCAGTACTCTTTCACGAGTATGATGAATGAAATACTTTATGCAATTATCCATTACTTTCTTGAAAATTTAAACTAAAATAATTTCTAGTTAATTGCGTCACATAAAAATAACTGAGTGAGTACACCTTAACTTTACACAAATATTATTATATTATCCATGACCTTCATTACCCTTATTTTAGGAAAATTAAATTATTATTTACAAGCCAATTTATGTTATCCTTGAAACATCTAGAGGCTAAACGGTATTTATTATATTTGGGAACTTTACCGCTACCAATAATTCAGTGTCCAGTTCTCTCGAATTATCATGAATAATATAAAAAACTATTCGAATCGACCAGACATTTGTGAGTCTCTATTTGGACCAATTAAATATATTTATTGTATGTAGTTACACTGACATATAATAATATCTTCTCTATACCATCCCATAACCATTAATAGAAGAAATCATATTTATTGGCCTATAAAGACGATTGTATATAAGTACGGCAAAAAAAATAATGCTGATAATATTTATGCATATAGGTCAAAAGGCTTAGCGTAGCTTATACCAGTAAAACAGGATTATATACCTACTCCTGGATTGAATTTTGAGCTCAAATCGAAAAGAATTAACGACATTTTTTTCAATGCAGTCGATTTAAGTGGAAATATTACAGACATCTAAACAAAAGTAGTTATAATAACTAAAAAAAATTAATTCACGTTTTCCATTCGTTTTTATTATAACAAAACAAACGCCCTATTATTTTATTTATTAAGTATTTAATATATTTTTATATATATGTAACTGGAGTATGTAAATAGATACTCAACCTATTATACCTACGTTAAGCCTTTTGACCTGTATGCATTCTGTCAACGATTTTCATCATTCAATTTATTTTATGTATACCTTGTGGTGTAACCTAACCTTATACATATTAATAATAATACAAAAACACAATATTAACTATAAGAAATTATTAATAGTATTATAAGGCACTATAATATTTTATTATTTACCGATATGTCTTTTAAAACCTATATTTTTAGTGGTCAGCAGCACTACTTCAATTAGACCTGTATCTGTGAAATAAACTTATGCTATTACTACTGTTTTGACCCAAGCGATAATCACGTCGTACAGAGCAAATTTGAGGAATCTAAACTAATATGTAGCAATGTATTATAGCACCTACACCCATAGATATTCAACATATAACCACATAGCTGGCTGCGTATTATGTACGAGTAAACATTGCCTTCTACGCTTCAATGACTGGAAAACAAGCTGTTTGCATCCACTGACATTGACACTATCACACTTCATCTTATTACAAGGGTATAATTTTCTCGACAACTTGTTATTTATTTACATAATAAAACAGTAATCTATTCCATAAAAACTTATACATGTAAAGGAGATTTATTATAAAAGTAATATTTATGTTATAATCATAAAATATAAACGTCTTTTAGTGGAATTAGGGATGCAGATGTTTTGTTATTTAACATTATTGGTACATTTTTAACCAGTCTTCTTACTGGACAAACTCCCATATTTTTCTTACCATGACCAAAAATAGAACAGACTCTGAAGCTGAATAAAATATGTATGTATATTAAAAATATTGAAATAGATTTGCCATTGTGCTGAACTCATCACCAACAACATGGGCTGAGACAAAGTTTATCCTGGATTAGTTATTAATATATTTAATAAATTAATTACACATTAATTTATTCATAACACAAACCCCGTAATTTTATACCATCTAATCAACTTACAAAAATACTTTTCATACACCAATATGGATTTATTAATGTTATGCAATAAATCAATATCCCTTCTAAATATAGATTTTTGCATTAAATTGCCACTAGATTAATTTAATACTATAAATATGTTTAAAATGGTTATTTATTTAATATTTTATAATTTTATCCTATTAATATTCGAAGACAAAGTTGAAAGGAATTCAATGAACAAACTTAGAATTTTTAATTTGGTTATAGTCTGTGCAATATGTCTTTTGATCCATCATGAGAGTGAAACTTAGTAACATTAATAAAATTATACTTTACCATCAGAAATATATGGAAGTAATATATTAAGTAGATTAAATAGGTACGTTCGGCTTAAATAGGTTGCTGCTTTGTGTCATATAGTGATTATAAATACTTCAAAACACTTGATTACTTCAAGATATTCCACTTGCTTTCATCCATAATACTGTGGTCTATACATACATACAGCCAATATTCAGTACAAAACTGCCAAATATTGTTCTGAAATAACTGCTTTTAAATGTTATATACATATTTTAGTAAATAAATTATTAGATGTTTAACTGTGTAATGGTACACATTATGCATTAAAACTGAATTCATTAATATATTGCTATAATGTTAGTTCGTCAGTTGTAACAGACACTTGGCTACGAAACAACATTTCAGGATTAATAATTAGCTATGTAAATTGTTATTAGACTAATGTCTCAAATATATTGTATGTAAGTAGTACTCAATAAAACAAATATGGGGTTCTAGAACAAATATTACAAGGAAAAATCAACCGTCAACGACCAGTTAGGTGCCACAGATCATAATTATCGTCATTTTTATGCAACTGGAATAGCAAACGAGTTAATTACCTTGACACCTGATTGTTAGTGATAAATGTCACCTGTGTACATAACCAGCACCATAGAAATCACTTTAAATGCCATTTCCGAGAACTTAGACGTCATGTCTATACCTTATAATTTCACTGCGTTATCTTAAGCAAGGTAGTTAGTGGCCGAAGTAGGTGAGACAATGGTACAAAATAACTCGGTAAAGTCGTAGTCCTTAAGAAGTAAACTTTTTGAATATTATAAATTATGTGATAACACTTACTTGAGGCATGTATCCTATCCTCGGACCGGGTACACCGCTGCCGGGGCTGCCCGGTTTTCCGCCCAACACCCATATCTCTCCAGCATTGAGTCTTCGTCTACCAACTATGCATGAGAGTAGTGTAGTTTTGCCACAGCCCGAAGCGCCAAGGAGACCATATCTATTAAAAATATGTTTACGTATATTATATAATTTTTAAAACTATCTTAAATTAATTATAGTCGTAATTTCAAGAAAATAGCGGTAAACCACTTAACTTAAAAGGTAAAACTTTTTACCACTTCAACCTTGATTGGAAATAAGAAAGAGGAATTATTTCTGATACGAAAAAAGTATATATAACGTTTGACAACAAGAAATAGTTTGTTGAAAAATGAAATGACAATCACAAATTCGTAGAATGTTATTTATTTACCTACCTACATTTTATTTTTCTTGTTTCTCTTCAATAAGTAGCATTTGTTTAAATATATGTATAACAAAACGAACTACTGACACATTTTTCCATTTATAATATTAGTAAATTTATATTATAATTTCCTAAATTTTACTAAAATGATACTTTTTCTGCAACGCTTGAAATATTAATTAATACATTTATGACTATAAAATGTAAGATAATAAGGTTGATTATTTAATTCTTAACTTAAACAAAAACAAAATAAAAGTTGTTTGTTTACAGTGTTACATAATTCACAATTTATCTTATAAGAGTTTCATCAAAAAGGTTCTCTAAATGTGTTAAAAAAGTTAACAATCAACACGAACTTAAGGAAATTGTTTACAACTTTTGAAGAGGATTTATAAATACTAAAAAAAATCCGCTGTTTTTTAGAAGTTCACGCGTTAATTTAAAAGTTATTTCCGGGGATTGAAGTTCGGTGCAGGCTATAATTTTAAACAGCTCAGCCTCTCTTACAAAAATGTTGGTCGCTCGCTAATACCAGTACGTCTGCCCCTCGTTAACGTCACGTAAAGAAAAATAAAAATAATAAGTGTAAATATAAAATATAAATTACTTTTATAGATACTGATCTGACTTCATTATTAAATATCTCTAATTTTCTATGACATTAATATTAAATTAAAAGTGGTTTGATTAATTTAATTAATTATTTAATTTAAAAAATTAAATGGTTTAATTAATTGTTTCATTCTTTAAAGTAATAAAAAGAAATTACATATATTCCAACCACTACTAGTAAGTAAAAACAATCAGCTAATTAAATCTTGCAGACATCGATTTGATTAATCAAAATAAATATATGCGGAATTTATGAACGCCTTGTTTTTAATGTAAGTTTATTTTAATTGATCTTTTCTCATATTCTTGTTTACAATTATAACAATTACATACGAATTAAAGATCTCATTAAAAAATGTTAATACTCACATTGCACCTTTAGGAACTGTCATATTTAAACCATCCAATATTATGTTTGGATTTTTCGCAGTTCCATATTTTTTGTAGGCTCTCCGAACGCAGACAGCTTGCTGTTTTCTAGAAGATACTGTGGATTTCTGTGGCCTCAGCTCTCTAAGTCTTCTAATAGCTAAGTCATCTTCTATTGTACTAACTGTGTTAGATTGCTCTGGTTTACGAACGTCCTCCATAGATATTGTCGCTCCCTCATTGTCGTAGGCCGGCATTTTTTTCTGAAAAGTAAACAACAACTTTTAGAATAAATTCCTTAATAAGACAGCATTGTGGCCTAGTGGTTTAATACCCTGAATTACAGCAATGGAAGTGAGATCATATCTTGCCGCACTATAATAATTAATATATTCGACTAACTCTCCGGTGAAAGAAACTCACGAAACATGACAGAAAAGTACAGCAAAATATTTAAAATATAATACGTGTACTATAAATATAGTTAATTATCTATAATTTTCAACTATATGATAATAACGACGTACAGAGATTTGTATTTAAAATAAAAAAACCAATTAAAAACCAATTCAGCTTGAATTGGTATTTAAAACTAAATTTATGACTTAATTTAAATTCATTAAAGGTAATATTTAAAAATAATGTATATAACCGATACATAAGGCTATTATGTATCGGTTATATAAGATACACTGAACATGCACCTAGTTGTAATATTTCAAGGTTTAATTTTTTTAGCACTAAATATTTTTGTAAACTGTATTATGTAAGTGTATTTATAAAACTATAGACACATATATAGGTACATACAGTACATGCACTATATATATTATAAATACGAAAGAGTCTGTTACATTTACACGGCTTAATGGATTTTAATAAAAAATAATAATGTAATGATAGATTGTACGACGAGGACGGATATAGGTTGTCTCTTGTATTGCAGACTAAAGACGAACCCACGGGTAATATTTAGTTTAGTCAATATTAATAGTTTTACTCGTTGTTGTTGTTGTTATTAATGTTTCTTTATATTTATTAGTAGTCAATATTAGCAGAGATTGATGAAGTATTAAAACAAATATCTATGGTCATTAATACTAAGAGTAGGTATACCAACAGTATTGCAGTATCATTGAAATCTAAGAATAATTAAGCTAAGAAGTTCTCTAATATGTATTTCGAAAGAGTTTGCTTGCTACTTCACTTGCGAAGAACAGGCAAGAAACTCAAGTGGTACGTTTTTTATACTAAGTAATATATGGATACATAAATACTTTCAGAAATGTAATTCCAGATCGCGTATTCAGAAGCATTAACAAATTACAATGTGGCGAATGTATGGCTTGAGATATAGAATATATAATATAATATAATAATCATCATTTAGAATAATGTATAAAATAATTTGATTTCATATTAGTGTTTTCATCACCAGAGACTAAGTCAAAGATATAAATAGACACAATTATTTTATGGCGATGACCAGATACCTATTGACAGTCTTTAGAAAATACACATACCGATATAAACAATCATACTCGTTGATACAAATGTTTGAGCTATGCGAGGAATCAATCCCACGACCATCGCATGGAAGGCGATGCGCTATACCGCTACACCACCGAGGCCGCCTAGCTAAACTAGGATACTCTAAAATCATGTAATATATAATAACTAGCTACTCGCCCCAGCTTCGCCCGGGTGTACATGTATTATACATATAAACCTTTCTTTTGAATCACTCTATGTATTAAAAACCACTTCAAAATCCGTTGCGTAGTTTTAAAGATTTAAGCATACATAGGGACAGACAGCGACACAGCGATTTGTTTTATACTATGTTATAATTATGATGATAAAGAATCAATATCGAGTATGCACGTGATACACCTCTAGACTATATTCCAGTCAAGGTTCACAACACAATAACATACTTTAGCTGATGTACTTGAACTCTATACAAGCCACCATTAAATTCAAGGTTCCTTAATGAAGATTCACAATATACCCCTTTATAGTCATAACCTTGAGCCATCTTAATAAATCGATAAAATATACGATCTTAATAATACGGTACGGTAGAATTATATATTTTCTCGGTATACAGTCATTAATTATGGATATATCCGTTATTTTCCATTAATAAGCTTTTGTTTCCATTACTTCACCTTTCCTATTAGCTATTTAATGGCTGACCGGAAGGAATCCCTACATCGGTATAAGTATGCTAGTATTCATTAATTATTTAAGAACTTTAAATCTTATACCCTAAGATATTACCATACAATAAAGTGTACTAATTAGGTTGCTAATTATAAAATGAGTTATTATATTGTTAGGTGTTAAGTTAATCAAATTATTTTCATAATCCTAATCCTCCTTTAAATATCCTCGTTGTATTTGAGCATACAAAGACCTTAAAAATTCATCCGTGTATGAAGGTATACATCCGTTTATATCTAACTAAACCAAGTTATTTGTAGTTTTGTGATACGTAACTCATATACTAGTGGAACTAGATAGCGCTGTGTAATTGACCAACGTTATTTATTTATTTATTAACAAGTGGTAGCGATATTAATTAATGATTTAAGTCAGCGATATTAATCTTCGAATTACTACCTACATAAGAAATGTCCTGATTCACATCTACAATGGGCATAAAAGTCAACAAATCTCCTTAGTTGAGATTTAACATAATAAGGGACATCATCCATACTAACATTATATATGAATGTAAAAGTGTGTATGTCTGTCTATTTGTAGTTTTTTCAAATGATAAAGCCTGAATGGATCTTCTTAAGTAAAATGATAACCTCGTATTTTTTTTATAAATAATAGTAGGTATGTCCTATTGTTTATATAAAAATAAGATGTCGTGGGTAATAAATATAACCGAATCTTTATGTCGTCGACTCTACCAGAGAGCACACAGAAAATTAAATAAGCAACCTCTTTTGAAACTACCTATTTCTATATATAGAACTGAATGTGGAAAAGTACTAAGCCATGTGATAAACACTAAAGAACTTAAGGTGTCGAATGATTCAGAATGTTTATTTCTGGATGAATTTAATATTAATAATAGTTCGGCTTATTTTACATGAATAATACATATTTATCGATACATAACATAGTGTATAAATCCATTATTACTTTAGATTTTTGTTATGGGTTGTTTATTTATTTTCTACCTTTCGGGTTTTTACTTTAAAACTAGTCCTATTCGACAACAATATGTTAATAGCTTATTTAATTTACATAACGATTATTTTATTTCCTAACAAGCAATTGTAATTTCATGTATCAGCTAGTGAAATATATTTTTAATAGAATAACAATCTCGTTGTAGGCCACCAGAGGTTAATACATGAACAGCAGTACGAACATCACTTTATCATGTGACGCTCGTGATATCATTCATACATTCCAGAGAACTAAGATGTATGCGTTCATATACTGTAATTTCACTGCCTTATCTCATCCAACCGGATCGAGGCTTAAGAAGCAAACAGCGTAACAACTGAAAAAAAAAATTTGAGTAGTCATACATACAGTACATATTGTAGATAATTTTTTTTTCGGACTACTCTAATACTTAAGGCCACAGCTGGCCTTTACAGCTTCACCGGACGATAGGGAGCGATTGATGATGGCACTCCATACTAATGGAAGGACTTATGGAGAGGCTAAAGACCAACTCCCGTCTGACGGATACGACTTTACTCTGAGGGTGCTGCTAGGGGTTCAAACCTCGGCACAGGCCGTCCTAATTTCGATCCCCGTTTGAATTGAATTTGAATGTTCCATTAATAAGAAACAGATGTATACAGGATTGTCTAATTATATTTTAAAATATATGTGACATATTACGACGTACAAACATATACATAATTATGTATATGGGTGGAAAGAGGACAAAAATTATAAGATTCTAATTATATGACAATTAACAATAATGCTCACATTTGACATGCAGTGTCCACTACAGATTATATCGTAACAGAAACAAAGGTATTGCTTACATGCGATAAGACCGCCTATTGTACATCTATATTTCTTGTCTGTGTAATTCTTGTATAAAAAGCTTGGTGCAATAAAGAGTTTATAAATAAATAAATACATAAAGGTACACATAGGACATTTTCCAAAGTCTACTTTAAAAAAATTTAACTCTTACGGCACTAAAGGGCAGCTTCACTTCTCGGTTTTAATATAATAACTAAAATAATAGCCCGTTATAGTAATAATTGTTGTTTTTCCATTAATTGCGTGGCCGATCGTTTCCTTAACTCAAAACATCGGAGCGTGTTTTTATTGACGTAGTAATAATGACGTCCTCGTACACCGAACCTTCGGAACCGGTTCCGCGAAAATATTCTCAAACCTTGATCGTAAAACTATGAGGTTATGTAGGACATTGCCTAATATTTTTTAAATGAATCTTATTACATCGCATTTTCAGCAAAAAAACGTTTTGTACAATATTACATGTATTATTTATTATGTGTAAAAATTACAGGTATAAAAATTTAAAATATTTAAATAATTTCTATTAAGTTTTATACTTTTTATTTATACTATTTACTTTTTGGATAAATGGTATCGTAGGTCCAGCTTCATGATATAATCTATTATAGTTATATTATAATATATATAGTTAGATATGAAAAAGTAACAAACTCATAACAAATAGACACACTTTCGAATATATAATATTAGAATATGTGTATGTATTATAATATGTATAAAAAAAATTGTCAGTAAAAATATCACAAGATATTGCACCAAAATTGTAAATAGGATGCATCTTTAAAATGTTACAATATACGGGAATGTGACATGTTAGAATACAGAGATCGCCATAATTAGAATGTAGATAACGTAACATAAAATCAGAAGTTGGTAAACTCGATGTTTTATTAAATATCAGTCAATCACACTTTGGATCGCTCGATATTCCAAAGGAATCTTTCACTATCTCATATGGTTATATGCCATATATAAATAAAGTTATAAAATATTGCATCCTAACGAAAAAGTAGTAATAATCATTCAGGATCTATTAATATCTTTAACGGCCGGCCATCTGGGATGTCAGGTTGCTTAACGTTCCATCAGGTGGGCCGTCTACTTGTATGACACTCTACTTACAAAAAAAGTGCACTAGCGACTTATTCGTATCATATTGGTTACTCATTGAACAAACTAAACGACATTGTACTATTCGTAATTGGTTTATTCTTGATTACGGTTCAAG